CTCATTGGGTTGTTGCCTGTGGTCATGCCATACCCTGGGCTGCTAGCCGGGGGCAGGTTCTTTTTCACCATGTCTTCAACTGTCTCTGCAATGAGGGACAGTGCTGGGGTGTCAGCCTGAATGGTTTCAGCCTTCCTCCGAATAGCCCTCATCGTCACAGGGATGGACATACATCTGTAAGAGAAGATGGAAAAAACAAGTTAACACTGCACTAGGTGCTGAATGAAACCAACTTTTCATTTGGAAAAATACAATACAATTCTGCCTGAGATTTAGAGAAGCCATCACAAATTTGTAGCAGTTTTCAGGTAGGACACGTACGTGGCAAAACAAGAGTCATTTTACCAAATGCCAAAGCTCTGGCTTTGTTTATTCAAAAAAGAATCTAATCAGTAGGCAATTGTTAACCTCTTATGAAATACAACCAAAAACAAACCACAGACTCCATGTAATTAAATTTCATATTAAACTAAAAGGAAAATGGGGCATGCCTATAATCCCAGTTCTCAAGGAGGCTGAGGCAGAAGGATTGAGGGTTCAAGGTCAGCCTGGGATATATAGCTAGACATTGTCTTTAAAACAAACAAACAAAAAAAGGACTGGAGGCATGGTTCAAGCAATAAAGTGCCTGCTTTGTGAGCATGAGGCCCTGGATTCAAGCCCCAGGCCCACAAAAAAAAAAGGAAGGGAAAGGAAAGAACTGTAATAATGTAACTCAGTAAGAAAATACTTCCCTTTTGGGGATTCACAAGGTAATTAGTTGGATATATAATTTAGCTAATGAAACACTAAAATTCTTTTTATTTTTCTTTTTGGCAGTACTGGGAGTTGAACTCAGGGCTTGGTGCTTCCTAGGCAGGCACTCTACCACTTGAACCACTCCATCAGCCCACTAACTCTTGATCCATCAAGTTCTAAATTGTAATGGCTTAAATCATTCTAAAGCTACTCTTTTGGGGAAGTATTAAAGTTTTCATACTACTGGTTATGAAATCCTGTTTATTTTAAAGCAAAGTACTTTTTATCTCCCAGATAAATTTAATACTTATAAACATATACTTGAAAACATTTTGCTGTGAAACGTAAGTCAGCAAACTTTTTCTTATTGAGCCAGACAATATTTTTGGCCTTATAGATAATAGGTGCTCTGTCCAACTACTCTGCCATTTGAACTTGAAAGCCGCCATAGATATGTAAAAATGAACAGTTGTATTTTAGTAAAATTTATGTACCAAGCTAGGCTGCCAATTCCAGCTTTAGAAAAAAAAATTTCAAAATTACATGTTAATGTTTCACATTAAACTGACTGCTTTAAGTACCTCTGCCATTTAACAGGATTCACCTGTTAAAAAGTGGCAAAAGAGGATAGATTCAAAACAAACAAAACCTCTGCATCTTATTTTAGCTGTCTCCTCCTCTTACAATACTCTAATACTAGGCCTGATGTTACCTACTTTATTTCCTATTACTCTTGTAGTGATATTTAAAAAAAAAAAAAAGAAAAGAAAAAAAGCTGGGCACGGGTGGCACCTGTAATCCTAGAAACTTGGGAAGCTGAAATCAGGAGGATTATGATCTGAGGCCAGCCGAGGCAAACAGTTCATGAGACCCCCATCTCCAAGTTAACCAAAGTAAAATGGACTGGAGGTGTGGCTCAAGTGGTACTGTGCCTGCTTTGTGAGTGCAAAGTCCTGAGTTTCAAATCTCAATCCCACCAAAAAACAAACAAAACAAAGCTCAGGTCGCATTTGATCCAAAAGCAGAAGAGTAGTCATGCTTTTCTCCTTATTTATAATTCATTCTAACACTGAAAGCAGCATACTTTATACATATCTTAGTGGCACTCTGATGGAAAAGGGCCAGTGCTACCTTTGAACAACTTTGGCAATGAAGTCATCTGTGCAGATGAGTGCATCTGACAGCCCCTTGTAGAGTTTACAGCTCACATGTGTTGAGTCCTGCACATCCATTACCACTGCAAGACAAAATAGACAGGAGCTATTTGGAAGGTGTTTCTGACCTTCCAAAAAAGATACAGAGACCAAACTACTCCCAAGAGAAGTGTTAGCCACCCAAATAACTCACCACACACTAGAGAGTCATTCACAGGATGCTGAAAAGATACACTGAAACGGGATTCTGAGAGGGGACATACTTCAAACTGGAGGAGCCCAGGAGAATCTAAAAGGCAAAGAAAGAAAAAGACCATAAAATGAAGAACCAAATAAAAGACATGAGACAGAAAAATAATGAACCTTAAACATACAAAGTGAAACACAAACCGAAACTCTTCTTGCCTTATTGGAAATAAATTCAATGCTTTTTATCATGCCAGAAAAACAAAAAACAAACAAAAAAACCCTCCAAAATCATACACAAATAGAAGGAATCACATTTTAATAAATTGCCAGTTTATTATAAGTTCCTCCAGAACAAAAAAGTAACTTTCAATTTTCTAAAATAAAGATAATTTGAGCTGGGTGCTGGTGGCTTACACCTGTAATCCTAGCTACTCAAGAGGTTAACGATTAGGAGGATCGCAGTTCAAGGGCAGCCGGGGCAAATAGGTTGAGACCCTATCTTGAAAAAACCCATCACTTTTCATGTGAGCCACATGAAGTGGCTCAAGGTGTAGACCCTAATTTCAAACCCCAGTTCACCTAAAAATAGAGGGGAGGTAGAGAATGGTGGTTGGAGTTGTGGCTCAAGTGCTAAAGAGTACCTACCTACCAAGCTTGAGGCCCTGAGTTCAAACCTCAGTACTGCCTCCCACACACACCCCCAAAAAAACAAACAAACAAAAAAAAACTTAGGAGACAAACACACTGCTTTAGTGGGGCATGTTGTTACACACATGCTGACTTGTAATACCAGCACTGGGGAGGCAGAGGCAGGAGGATTACAAGTTGTAGGACAGCCTGGGCTATATAGCAAGTCTCTCTCTCTAAAACAACCCACTGCCTTGAAAGTAAATTCTAAAAATAAAAGTGGCCAACGGTTCTAGAGGGTTTGTTTGTATTTTGTATTTTGTTTTTGTTTTTGGAGATAGGGTCTTGCTATGTAGCCTAGGTTGGCCTCGAACTTGCAATCCTCCAGCCTCAGTCTCCAGAGTGTTAAGATTATAGGCATGCAATACCACACCTAGCTCTCAAAAAGTTTTTCATCTTGTTTGCTAAGCAGCCATTCAGACCACTACCATAAACTCTGCTTTCTAGTGTTTTGAAGCTGTTAGCTGTGCAGCCTACAGTTTGGTAAAAAGAGATGTAAAGGCTATAATCTAAAATTATAGATTTATGCCAAATACACAAACATTTAACTGTCGTCATAGTTTTTTTTTTTTAATTGTTGCAGTACTAGTGACTGAACCCAGGGGCTCACACTTGGTTAGGCAAGTGTCTACCACGGACCTATACCCCCATCCCAGGTTTTTCTTCCCTTTGTTTTGGGTTTTTTTTGTTTGTTTTGTTTTTTTTGAGGCAAGGTCTTGTTGTGTATCCCAAGATGGCCTTGAACGCTTCTCCTGCCTCAGCTTCCCAAGTGCTGGGATGAGAGACATGTGCAATAACGACTGGCTAGTGTGCTATGACTGACTACACCTCCAGCCCCAGTTCTTAAGCCAAACATTCTGGCAGCCCAGCACAAGGATCACATACTTTCTTTGAAAAAAAATCATGCAGTTCTATAGAGTAAGCACCACAGCTACCTGATGACAACTAATTTTTAGATGTCCTGAGCTATTTGGAGAACTCTTCTAGGATTCAAACACATGAAATAAAAAGATCACAAGTTTGCTTGCATATGCTCTATGTCGTTACTCCAACTCTTGAAAATTTCTCATTTCTAAGGCAATTTTTTTTTTTTTTTTTAGGGTACTAGGGTTTGAACACAGGGACTCACACTTACTAAGCAGGCATTCTACCACTTAAGCCACTCCATCAACCCTAAAACAATTCTTAGCTCCATGAAAGTATCTTCTGACTTATATTCCCTGTTCCTTCTTTCCTCCCATTTGCATTGATACTAGCTATAACTGGAATGCCATATGATTAAGGTAAAAAATTAGCTGTGATTAGCTACAGCAGCCAAAATCTGCATCAAAGCTTCTAATAGCCAACAATTTGAAAAACATCAGCCTTCCAGAATCCTGAGAGAAAAAGAAAAGTGTGTAAGTTTCACCTTCTTAAAGATGTATGATTACATTCTCCAATAAATGGGGAGATAAAGTATACTAAGGATTAGAGCTAGAAAACACTATCCTAACACAAAACTTAGATATCAAGAAATCACCTCACTATACCTAGGTACCGGCTGCAAGGTACACACCCTAAAATACCCAAGTAAATTACTATGTTTAGAATGAGTTAAGTCCATTGCAAAAAAAAAAAGCCCATGGTTTCTAGCCAGGCCCTGGTGGCTCATGCATGTAATTCTAGATACTCAGGAGACAGAGGTCAGGAGGATGCAGTTCAAGCCCAGCCCAAGGAGGTGGGAGGGCGGGTGTGTTTAAAAAATACCCAACACAAAACAGGACTGCTGGAGTGGCTCAAGTAGTAGAGTACCTGCCTAGCAACTGTGAGGTCCTGAGTCCAAACCCTAGTACCACCAAAAACAAAAAACAAAACAAAAAAACAGTGGTTTCCAAATGCCAATTAGAACAGGGTAGTTCCATAAAAACCATTTGTGATGGTTGATATCCAACTTATTGCATCAACATTCTAATCAGTTCACCTGGACGTGGAAATCAAGCACCTGTAGTTTTTAAAGACCCACAGGGGTTTCAATAGGTCACCAAATTATTGGTATTATTAGGTTTTTGTTTTTCTCTGGTACTGGGGAATAAATCCAGGGTCTTGGAAATACTAGGCAAGCATTCTACCAAAAGCTACATTCCCAATCCTTGGTTTTTTGTTTTGAAAGTAAATTAAGCACTTTGAGCCACACCTCCAGTTCATTTTGCTCTGGTTACTTTAGAGATGGGGCCTTGTGAACTATTTGCCCAGGATAGTCTTGAACCATGATCCCCCTGATCTCAGCCTCCCAAGTAGCTTGGATTACAGGCGTTGAACCATCCACCTAGCCCCTTGGTTTTTTAAGACAAAGTCTCACTATGTAACTCAGCCTAATCTCAAACTCAAGATCCCCCTGTTTCTGCCTCCAGTGTGCTGGGATTTACAGGTGTACACCACCACACTTGGCCTGAGTTACCAAATTAAAGAACCACCGGAGTAATCAGTGCCCACCTTCCAGTAAGTATATCAAAAAGAAAGTGAGTACCTTCTTTCAAAATAGTTCTTTTGACACAGCTTCCAATTAGGGTGTTATAGGCCACTTGGTGTCTGATCATATTCAGGATAAGAGGAACTCGGCCAGGGTGCTGAAAGGTGACTTTGCTAACTAGTGTTCCCTGTAAACTGCGGCCATCTGGAAGAGGAGCATCCTTGTTGAGGAAATAGCAGTGCTGCTGACCTGGAAGAGCCTGGGCAAAAAGAACAAAGTAAATGAATGCTATTTACTTACCCACTGTACTTCAACCACCAACTATCCCGGAAAAAACCTTATCCTCAAAAAAGCACAGCAAAGTTTTGGAAAGTAATAGAACCCCAATTTTATTCTGAATTCTTTGACTAGCTGATATTATAAATGCCAACCAGTTACTTATTTGGCTGAAAAGAAACCTTTTTAGTAACTATGCTGATGGGTTCCTAAGTTGGGTAACATAAAAATTGTATCAGAAATTTCTATTAAAGAGGTTTCTAAACCACAAGTGCAAAAATCTGTAATTTTAATAAACCATCCTATAGTTATAATGCAGCCAGAATTTGTGACCTCCTATGTTAAAATAATCATCAAACATTCAAATAACTTCAAACCCTCATGTGAGACTTTGTAACTTTTCATAATTTATTCATCCCCTATTCTGTTATCTGTATGTACTTAAAGGACCTTTCTGATTATAACCTCACGGCACTTAAAATAATTAAACAACAATTCTTAACATCTTATAGATTTGTAAAGGTTCAGAATGCTATTGAGACTTTCTTTGGTTTGGAAATTTTTTTTTTTCTTTTTGTGGTGCTTGAGATGTTACTCAAAGCATTCTACCACTGAGCTACAACCCTGGACCTTGGCATTTAAGACAGGGTTTCACTACATAGCCCACAGTGGACTCCTGCCTTCACCTCCTGAATGCTGGTATTACAGCTGTGCACCATCACACACAGCTCGTAGAGAAATTTCAACAAAATATATACTGTTTCATGACTCAGAAGTTTGTTTTCCTTTTTCTTCAGTATGTTTCAGAGTTTTGTTTTTTTTTTTTTAAGTTCGTGCCTGACTGAGGAAACAGACCATGATCAAGTGGTACAAAACAAAGTTGTGAGACCTCAATAATGCTATAAAGGAAGATTTTCATCTTAGATCCAAACATAACCTACAACATTCTAGCTTAACAGTGCATACTTACAGCATAAAATCGCATATTGTGATTCAAAGGTACGGGGTCAGGATCCTTTGTCAGCTCAAATTGTGTGATCAGTTCATAAAGGGGTACATAAGTTGGTTGAGTTTCAAACAATGGAATTCCTAGAAACAGAAGTACTAATGATTACAATGAGAACACCAATAGGCTGATTTTCCTTTCATGATTTTTATATTCATTCACTCATTTATTAAGAGTACTTACTAAGCATTTACTAATACAAAACACACTACTAACATCTATACTTTTCAATACATTTTTGAAGCCTACAAGACTAAGTTGTTTAGGATAATCTTAAGTTTCCTGTACACAACTGAACTAAGTATTTGATCCTGATGTTCAAAAGTTACCTGTATTACATTTCGCCAACATTTTAAAAAAACAAAAATTAAAACTTACCTGTGCAGTTCTGTAATTTCTGAACAAATGCTCTAGATACTGGGATTGGCTGGGGAAATTTCAAGAAGAAACAGGCAGGAAGATCAACACTGTTGGCACTGGTGATTGAGGAGAAGGAAGGGGTCCTTCAAAAAAAAAAGAAGAGGAAGGATAGATTTTACTTGATATGAAAATGAAAACTCCAAACACCTATTCTTTTTATTTTTTGCAGTGCTGGGGCTTGAACTCAGGGCCTACACCTTAAGTCACTCCATCACCTCTTTTTTGTGATGGGTTTTTTTCACAACAGTGTCTCACGAACTATTTGCCTGAGCTGGCTTTTGAACCACTATCCTCCTGATCTCTGCCTCCTGAGTAACTAGGATTATACCCATAAGCCACCAGAGCCCAGCTCAGAATTCCAAATCACATTATTTTGTTAATGCTGAAGTACTTAATCAAACTTTTATATGGGGCTCAAAGTGTAGCTAAGTGGTAGGCACATGCTTAGCATACACAAGGCCCTGAATTCAATCCCAAATGCCAAAAAAACCCCAGCATATTATTAAGGGCAAAAAAATATGTTCTATGAGCAGATCTCAAAAGAGAAACATTCAAGTAGATTCTGAGTAAAACAGAAACTTAATGGAAAAAAGCAAAAGGACATCCTCTTTAAAAATTCAAATAGTGGAAGGACCAAGTGAAATGCTTGTTTCATACTGGGCTTGAAGGTGAAAAAATTGACTTTGCTACTCCAAAATTACGTTTAACTTACCATTTGTTGTCAACTGGATGTGACCCCATAATTAATGGTGCAATTGGAAGTTTATACATAGCAGATGTTCCTTCAATTGTCACTGATACATTCATGCCCAAGGATCGAGGAACTGGAAAAGAAAAAGGGTATCTTCAAAGAAACACAAATTATGGGACTCACAACATTAAAATAAAATTTAGGTGTATCCATAGTAAGGAGCACCAAATCAGAAATTATAGGAAGGCTGGGTATTCAAATTTTACAAATATTTTAAAAACATTGGACAAAGTCTTCAGCTGCAATATAGTTAAAGACATACCATTATTCTCATGCAAAATGATAGGTGATACAGTCTTATCATCCAGCAGATCAGAAGGAGAGGCATAGTACTTTATATTCATTAAATGACCTATGAAAAATAAAACATTACTGCATATTTATTGATAAATTATAAATTTTAAAAAGCATTTACATTTCTATAAACCTATATACAAGAAAACAGTTTCACAATATGAGGAGTCATGTTCCAAAGCAGCTTATAAAACATGACAAAAGATTATTGATTCTAGGGGCAACAGTTTACTTCATACAGCTGAAGCGGGGAAAAAAATGGGAGAAGGGCTGGGGATGTAGCTCAGTAACAGAGCACTTGCCTAGAATGTGCAAGACATTGGGTTTGATCCCTAGCCCTGCAAAAACAAAAATTTTAAAAAAAGGGAGAGGGCAGGTATTGACATTGCAGAAATCATTACAAAATATGTAAATGATAATTTTTTCCATCTTTATGATGCCAAAATGACATTAAAAGCAATGACCTCTCCACTAAAATTAGACATTTTTCTAAATAATCAAAATAGGATAACATACCTCCACTCCGTGGAGTGAGATAACCAACACTTCCATGAAGAATTTTATCCAAGGGGCCAGCATTAGTTGCTTTCCTATAAGACAAATGATCTACGTTTGCTTATATTTAGGTCTTGAAGGTCTTAGTGTACAGTATGATACTGAGTTAAGCTCTTTTTTTGTTTTATAATATTCTCCTGTTTTATAATGACTCTATTCTGTAATTGGATATATAACAAGTATATTTCACCTGGAAATAAAGGGATTATTCCCCAGTACACATTAGTATTAAAATGGTGAATAAAAATTACAACTAAACCAGGTGTGATGGCATGTACCTGTAATTCCAGTATTCGGGAGGATAAGGCAGGAGGATCCTGAGTTCAAGGCCAGCCTGGAATACACAGTGGGATCTTGTCTCAAGTAAATAAATTTAGCCTGACATGGTGACTCATGCCTATAACTTTAATCCTAGCTACTAGGGAGGCTAAAGTCAGGAGGACTACAGTTCAAGACACCACCTCAACCAATTAAAAAGCAAGGTGCTGTGATGAATGCCATCCCAACATGGGATGAGAAGCTTAATTAGGATTGTGGTCCAGGCCAGCCCAGGCAAAAAGTAAGTCCCTATTTGAACAATAAAAAGGGGTGGAGGCATGGCTCACATGGTAGAGTGCCTGTCTAGCAAGTGCATGACCCTGAGTTCAAACCCTGGTACTGCCAAGTAAGTAAGTAAGTAATAATAATAATAATAATAATTTATAACTAGATGACTATTTTATTTTGGTGGGGCTAGGGACTGAACCAAGGATTTGTGAATACTAGGTAAGTGCCCTACCATTTGAACTACACCCCTAATCCTTAACTACTATTTATCAAATGGGAATCCATGTTTGAAAATTTTTTCAAATAAAAGCTATGGAATACGAACTAACAGTGATACTGATACTTATGAGATAGAAGGTAATTTTCATTTGGAAGGGGAAAGGAGATAGTGGAGATGTATAATATGGACATATAAATATGTGATATGGATATATAATATATATCTATTGTACACATACATAAAATAGGATCATAATAATACCATGGCTGAAAAGCCAAGAGTCACATAGAATTAACTCTAAGTCAATCTTACCAGTACATAATTGCCATTTTTGACAGATCTTGTTCTAAGGATTGGAGAGCCAAGTACATTTTAGTCTTCAGTTTGCTGGAGAGCAGATGAGGAGAAAATGAGTTAAACAGTTGAAAAATATATGTATACACACACACACACACACACACACACACACACAAACATTAATATAGAAAGCCTCAAGGGAGCTGGACACTGGTGGCTCACACCTATAATCCTAATCACTTGGGTGGCTGATGGCAGGTTAAAAAAAAAAAGTTTGCAAGATACCATCTCAGCACAAAAAGCTGGGCATGATGACACACCACCTTTCATCCAGAGGAAAAAAGGCTGAAAGTACAGCTCAAGCAGCAGAACACCTGCCTAGCAAGCTCAAAGCACTAAAAAAAGTGCTTTTTTATCACTTTCACAGCTTATTTTCAGCACTATCAAAGCTTAACTTGATTTCTGTTTAAAAGGGCCAAGCAGGTTAATGGAACCCCAGTTAGGTTAAAAACAAAAATGACAAGCCAGTTGTATCATTCCTTTCATCCTGAAAAACATGTTGAAGACATCTCAACTCAAGGATTATACTCTGTTTTCTGACAATATAACCCAGTAATGCACATACCACCCATTTAAATTAAAATACCTTGTGGGAGGGTAAGGAGAACATAAACAAACATTTAAAAGACATAAAGTCACAAGCTGAGCTATAGATTGCTGTATGAGTAAAAATCAGGAATAGCATATGGCAGAAGAATAAGCAAATTTCTCACCACAAAATGGCTTACAGACTTAATACTGACTTTTCCAAAAGACAAAAATTTAATGAATAAACAAAAATACTTACTTGTCTCCTGGAAGGTTATACAGATTAACGAGGCCTTTAAGATGCTTAGAAAATTCATCAAAATTTTTTTCCCTATAGGGAGTTCAAGAAAAGAGGGGAAAGAGGAGAATACAACATACAATTACTACTCAATACTACAAAAAAAGTGCCAAATGTCATGGCTATGATATTTTAATAATCTGCTTTAATTTCCCACCACCCCTGAAAGTTTTTTGGGGTCAAACAAGGATAGCAAAATAAAAGGAAATTTTTCCTTTCTCTTTCTGACCTATTTTATTAGAGAAGGCACTAATAAGCAGCATAAAAGTCAAGCCAGTGGCTCATGCCTATAATCCTAGCTACTCAGGAGGTAGACGTCAGGAAGATTTCTGGTTCAAAGTCAGCCCAGGAAAGAGTTCCTAAGACTCTAGAAAATAACCATCACAAAAATAGGGCTGATGGAGTGGCTCAAGGTGTAGGCCCTGAGTTCAAGCCCACCTCCCCCATAAAAATGAGCTCTAGCTTTTCTGCCAAATAGTTCTATGACTAGATTAGCATAAGGAAAAAGAAACTACCATCATGACATCTGGCTTTCTAGGACCCAACATTCAGGCTTGAACTTTTACTCAAATGAGAATCTGCAGATAGGTTTAGAAATCCAACACATTTCAACAATTCAAACTTTTTTCAAACTTACAGGGGAATAAAAAAAGGCCTCTGGCAAGCCATAACAATGTAAGATACTATCTTAATATTACCATCTATTCTAAGTGACCATAAAAATATCAGGTAAAGGTTAACATTCATTTGAGACTCCCACTTAACAACAGGCTTACAATCCAGGAGCCAGAGCAGTTCATGCCTATATTCCTAGTTACTCAGGAGGCAGAGATCAGGAGGATCTCTGTTTGAAGCCAGCCTGGGCAAACACTTCATTCGCAAAACCTTATCTTGAAAAAAACCCATCACAAAAAAAAAAAAAAAAAGGTCTAGTGGAGTAGCTCAAGGTGTAGGCCCTGAGTTCAAACCCCAGTACTGCCAAAGGAAAAAAAAATTCCCAAAAGTCTTAAATCTGGTTTTAAATTTAAGCATGATAATTCCCACTCAATTCAAAAGCAAAAGACAAGTTAGTGGGGAAATAAAAACAAGTATAGCGTCTTCACACCTACTACTTTTACCACGAGTAAAAGGAGTAAAATGAGAAGATTATAAGACATATAATGCAATTTTTCTCAAAATTGAAGTGAAAAAATTGTTTTCATGGTATAGACTCAATGTTCTTAGACCTTTTGTGCTCCAATAGTTTATATTCTATTTATTTTTATTCCGCATAGAATTCTTAAGACTAGATCGGTAGTTCTTACCCCAGGACATCTGACAGTGTCTCCACACTGTTTTGTTTTGCACTGCTTTGTATTTAGCCCAGGGCCTTATACATGCCAGGCAAGTACTGCACCACTGTGCTACATCTCCACCCCTTGGGGGTATTGTTTGTTTTGTTTTTTGTTTTCCACTGGGGCTTGAATTTAGGGCCCACACCTTGAGCCAATCCACCAGCACTTTTTTTGTGATGAGTTTTTTGAGATAGGGTCTCATGATCTATTTGCCAGGGCTGGCTTCAAACCATGATCCTCCTGATCTCTGCCTCCTGAGTAGCTAGGATTTATAGGTGAGAGCCACCAGTGTCCGGCTCCCTTGGGGATATTTTGATTGTCACAACTGAGGAGATACTTACTGGCATCTAGAAGAGAGATACCTAAACATCCTACAATGCATTAGGTAGCCCCCTCGAGCAAAGAATTTTCCAATCCAAATTGTCAATAATATATGGTTGAGAAACCCTGTGATACGTTAAGTATGGTTAAAATCCCTGCTAATTCAATTCTGAAACTGAACAGGTACAGAAGACTGAAAAAGGATGGCCAAGAAAATAAATTTGTATCTCAGGAGAATAACTTCTGACCAATAAATAACAGCATTGGGCGGGGACATGGCTCAAGAGGTACAGCACCTGCCTAGAAAGTGTAAGATCCTGAGTTCAAACTCCAGTACATGGGGGTGGGGGGTAGGGGGATGGGGGATGGGACAGGATTGGCATATGCCTGTAGTCCTAGCTGCATAGAAAGTTGAGACAAGAGGATACCATGAGCCTGAGCCCAGGAGTTCAAGACTAGCTTGTGCAACATAACAAGACCCTATCTCAAAAACAGAAGAAGCAGGGCATGCAAGTACACACCTATAATCCCAGCACTCAGGAGGCTGAGGCAGGAGCAGGAGGATCTCCAGTTGGAGACCAGCCTGAGCTACATAGTGAGATCCTGTCTCACAAAACAAACAGAATGCCTGTCAATAACCAGGAATATAAATGTTATTTTCTCACCTTAACTGCTGTACAAGCTCTGGACAGCTCTGAAATCAAAGAAATTATGTTAAAACATTATATATTAACACCTTTGAAGACATCAAAAGTTTTTTTATTAATAGCACATACTTTATAACAAAAGCATTTGAGCTACAGAAGTCCCTAATGTAAGATATCAAAAGCATCTTCTTTCTATTTGGTGAACTTGGGTTTGGGGCACGATATTAAAAATCAAAATACGTGAAATAGTTTATAAAGAAATCATCAACTTTTAGCAATTTGCTTGAAATATTAGGAACTCTGTCCAATGCCATCCCTAGAATCCTTATCAAATTAATCATTATCCACATTTCACATTCATTATCTATTATAAGATTTTTCAGATTATCTTTGCATCTTGATTATCATGTTTTTGAGGAGGGGAACTGTAAGACTGATTTCTGTATCCCTACCACCTACTGTTCAACTGCGGCTCATGTTTGTTGATATGAAAAGGGTTCCTTTGGTGTTTCCACTTGTCAAAGCCCTTGGATGATGTCAAGAGATGGACCCACATTACTCTATCATTCTACAGCTATTGATGTAGCCCATCACATCATCTACAGTGGCTCATGAAAAAAACCTAAACCCAAGCTATTTAAACCCCAACAATTCATTTTTAAATTAATGTTCCTAAGAAAATCCCATAGATTCCAGTGAAATATCAACAACACATACCACAGGATTCTCCCCATGGTGAGCCACTTTTACATCACAAAGCTGTCCTGCAGGATCTAACTGCACTTCCACATAGAACATATCTGACGTGATGTAACATTCAGTGCCACTGGCACTGAGATGAGAGCCCAGTCTAGCAGGAACAAATCAAAACAAAAATTAATAGAAGACACATAAATAAAGCCACCCAAAGTTTAACACTAAGTAAACATTTCTACCGATATATAAAACTACATACCCATTTTGTCTTGCTATTGACTCCAAACGATCAGTCATTGCTGGTAAAGATGTTACTGATGGAAAAAAAAAAAAAAAATCACAAAAGATTTTCCAAATAAATATTCTCTAAGGCAGACATGTGCTAAGTATATCTGAGACGGGTGCCAGTGGCTCACTCCTGTAACCCTAGCTTCTCAAAAGATACAAATGAGAAGGATCATGGTTTGAAGCCAGCCTGGGCAAAATAGTTCTCAAGACCCTGTCTTGAAAATATCCAACACAAAAAAAGTGCTGGTGGAATGGCTCAAGCAGTAAGAGTGCCTGCCTAGCAAGCATGAGGGCCTGAGTTCAAACTCCAGTGCTACCAAAAAAAAAAAAAAAAAAATCTGTCCTTCCAAAGCCATAAACATATTCAATAGTTCCAATGCTTATACTCTGCACAAAGTTCATTGTTAAGGCTTAGCTACAGCCTAGTAATAAGCATAAAATAAGATCTATTTGAATAATTACTGGACCTTTCCCTTTTTCCTTTTTAATTAACCAGCACCCAGGAGGCTGAGGCAGGAGTATATCAAACCTAGCTAAGACCCTATCTCAAAAGGATACAATAGGGGTTAGGGGCACCACAAGTGGTGCAGAAGGTCCCTGAGTTCAAGCCCCAGTACCACCAAAAAAGAAAAAAAAGGCTATGTATACTAATCCATGTGTGCAAACACTGTATTTCTTTCTAGGTGCAGTAGCTCAAGACTGTAATCCAAGTTACTTGGGAGACAGAAATTAGGAGACTCATGGTTCAAGGCCAGCCTAAGCAAAAGACTTAGTGAGACCACATCTCAACCAGTAAGCCAGGAATGGTAGTATGTGCCTGTGACAGCAGCTACAGGGGAGGCTGTAGGTAGGAGGATCACAGACTGTGACCTTGTGAAAACACAAAATCCTACTTGAAAAATAATTGAAGCAAAAAAGAGCTGGGGGTGTGGTGGTGTGGCTCAAACAGTAAAGTGTCTGCTTAGCAAGCATAAGGTAATGAGTTCAAACCCCAGTACCACCAATAAATAAATGTTTCAAAAGTTCAGGAAAGCCAGCCACTGGTGGCTCATGCCTGTACTAGCTACTCAAGAGGCAGAGACATGGTTCAAAGTCAGCTTGGGCAAATAGTTTGAGATACACTATCTCGAAAATACCCAACACAAAAAGGGCTGGCAGAGTGGCTCAAGTGGTAGAGTGCCTGCCTAGCAAGTGCGAGGCCCTGAGTTCAAACTCCAGTACTGTCAAAAAAAAAAAAAAAAAGTTCAGGAAACAACTTTTCAACTCTATAAATGAAAGCAAGAGTAACATCTACCTCAATTTATATTTCTAGCATAAATATAAAGTAGACCTCCTTAAACAGCATATTTCAAAGGTGTTTACAAACCTTTGAGAGCCTTCTGCAATGTCTCCAGACAGGTGACCAAATGTTGATGCCCTCCAGAACTCATCACAACCCTCTTCTCCTGTGTAAAGTGGGAAAACATTTGAAGTAAAAATCAACCAAGTCAACAATGTTTCAGGTAAATATACATATTATCTAGTGGTAATACTTCAGGATAGCCTCTAAACACTATTCAGTGTACAGACTCTTTTTTTTCTTTTATCATTTTTACATTTACTTACATGTGTATACATTGTTTGTGCCACCATCGCCCCCCCCAACCCTTACAGTGTACCGACTCTTAACTATTAACTCTGTCCATCTACCCAAAGGAAGAAAATTTCATAAGGATGGGTACATCCCTATTAATATATATGACAGTAGAAAAAGGTATTCCCACATCTAAAATAAGATAACCTTCAAAATGTCATAGATGAGCTGGGCATGGTGGCTCATGATTATAGTCCTAGCTACTTGGGAAGTGATCAGGAGAATTGTGGTTTGAGGTCACCCAGCAGTTAGTGAGACCCCATCTCAACCAATAAAACTGGGCATGGTGGTACACACCTGTCATAGCAGCTTTGTGAGAAGCTAAATAGGAAGGTCAAGGTCCAGGCCAGTCCAGGCCAACCCAGGCATAAAAGTGAGACCCTCTTTGAAAAATAAAGCAAAAAGGGCTTGCTGGTGTGGCTGAAGTGGTAGAGTATCTACCTAGTAAGCACAAGGCCTTGAGTTCAACCTGCAGTACTACCAAAAAAAAGGAATAGCTGAGCTCTACCTCCGATAGAACTGACTGACAACATCATAAGACTTAGACAGCTAAATGAGGTGGCTTAGAAGAAACACAACCAAATCTTAGTGAAACTAGATTGACTCTAAGAAATAAAATATGTAGTTCAGAAAAGAAACTCTCAAGGAGAAAAAATTCAGTAGTTTTCTAACCCTATATAGAGAAATCCCTCTCTGCAAAACATTCCGGGTACCCAGAAATGTGAACAGTTTTATAGTAAAAGGATTTTCACCCTAAATAAATCTCTCTTTAATTCTACCCTCACAAATCAAATGTGATTTCTTAATAATCTGTCTTCCTTTATGCCTTGAGTAGAGAAAGGGGTGCTCTGGCAATGAATTCCAATGTTTTGGGAAATAGAAAGATGAACCCTGTGTTACAAATTAATAAACAGACATTCTGAGCTTGGAGTATGACTCAAGAGGTAGAGCACCCACCTAGCAAGAATGAGGCCCTGAGTTCAAACTCCAGTACTGCCAAAAAAAATAGATACTCTGATTTACATGCTCATTAGTGTTCCAGTTGTTGAAAACTTTTTAAAGTCAATCTACCAACAAAATTAGGTTTCTTATTTCTTTTGTTTGTTGTGTGCTTGTGTGTGTGTGTGTATGTGTGTATGTGAGAGAGAGGCATAATGCTGGAGATTGAACAAAGAGGCTTGTACATGTTCCAGGCCCAAATTTAGGTTCATGAATCTATAAAACTGGCAAGTATACCAGGAAGGCATGGTAACCAAACCAAGAAAATAGTATCCCAAGAAAGGGAGGGTCTTAATAGCTACCTAGAATTCTTCTCACTTACAGTATCTATAACAACAATATCATTAATACAATATTTCAAGGCTGGAGGAGTGGTTCAGTGGTAGAACACTTGCCTAGTAAGCATGAGGCCCTGAGTTCAACCCCCAGTATTGTCAAAAAGGAAAAAAAAAATGTATTTCAAACTAGAATATGGTTGCCTTAAAGGATTAAATTATACTCCAGAATTTCTAGAATGGAACATTTTCCATTCATTTGACACTTAAAAATATTCAGCTGGGCAAGTTAACACATGCCTGACATCTCAACAACAAAATGGGAAACACAGGTAGATCCTCCTGGGCAAAAACTGAGACCATCTCTGAAATAACTTGAGCAAAAATGGGCTGGAGAAGTGGCTCTAGGGGTAGAGCACTGCCTCCCAAGTGCAAAGCCCTGAGTTCAAACTCCAGTAACACCCAGTACCGCCAAAAAAACAAAGTTTTCTTTATACACAAACCTGAGCAAGAACGTACACGTGCATTTATAGTATTTATAATTATAGAAAACTTTTACCAATAGTATTGCATTTTGGTCATCTCATTTGATCCTTACAACAAAACTGTATAGAAAAGCAAACTAGCAGTATAAGCTTCCATTTCCCTGATAAGGAAACACTCAGAGAAATGACATAATTTGTACAAAGTCACATAGTTGGTAAGTACTGAAGTCAAGCTTTTGTTTGGGTTTGGTTTGGTTTTTTTTCTAGAGGTGGCAGGGAACAAACCTGGGGCCTCACACAGCTAGGCAATTATTCTACCAGTGAGCTACATTCCCCAGTCCTTAAAGTACAGGTCTTCTGACTTTGAATTTAGCAATTCTGCTAGTGCTATGTTGATATGGTTATTTTAAACCCTAATAAATCTATAGAATTGGACTTATTCTGGAACTAAAGTAAAATTTGGTGGGGAAGAGGGAATATTCTCATTAAAGTACAACATATATATAAAAAGGTTAACAAATCCTAAGTAAAATGATCACAAAGTAAACATACCTATATAATCACTGCCTAAGTTAAAAAATGGAGTAAAGTTTCCTATGTCATTTGACTATCACTGGAATCAAACGAATGAACTTTGAGCATCCAGCTTTTGAAATGGCCATGCTCTCCCCACAATCAACTGCTGTCTTCCACTTAACTAGCTAATATGTCTCCATACTGGTGAATGACTCAAGAAAAAGCAGTACTACAGAGAAAGAGGTTAACAGTGAACAAGTACAAACCCAAAATTTATCTTCTTAAGAATAGATTATAGAGTGGGGATGTGGCTCAAGTGATAGAGCACTTGCCTAGTAAGCTCAAGGACCTAAGTTTAAACCCCATAATGGATATATTAAAAAAATAATAATGAATAATCATGGCCAAGCATTATGACTTATGCCTATAATCCCAGCATTCAAAAGACAGGAGGATCACGAGTTTGAGGCCAGCCTATGCTACATAGTGAGACCTTGCCTCAAAATAAACAAAAAAAGTGCCTAGCATGTGCAAGGCCCTGGATTCAATCCCCAGTACAGGGAAGAAAAAAAAAAGAATGAATCATACAGACTGTGGTGGTACATAACTATAATCCCAGCACCTGAGAGGCTATAGAAGGAGTGTCAAGAGTTGGAGGGCAACCAAGGTTACATAGCAAGACCCTGTCTCACAAAAAACAGAAAAGAAAGAATTGAAAATTCTACTATTAATACTGTATAATACATAAAAGGAGTATCACATTAGAGTGAAGGCGCTTGATAGCTATCAATGTCTCCCCTGTAGGTGTATTTATTGGCAACGTCCTGTGAAGATCCCAATGTGCTTTAACACCATTTTATAAATATACATGGCCCTCCAAATCCTTGGATTCTACATCCTTAGATTCCACCAATCATGGTTCAAAAATACTTAGGGAAAAAAATGGCTCTGTACTGAACAGATTTTTTTTTCTTGTCATTATTCTCTAAACAATGTAAGCATATCAAATATTTATATGCCATTTATATCACAGTAAGTTTTATAAGTAATGAGAGACGCAAAATAGGATGCCACGTTATATAAAGGGACCTGAGTATCCATGGATTTTGGATGCCATGAATATAGACGAACAAAAGTATACCTCCTTTCTAGGCAGATCCCTAAAACTGATAGCCACCAGACATTCAGGTGTTTTATGACGAAAAAACTGAAGACAACAAACACTTGTAATCCTAGCTACTCAGGAGGTAGAGATCAGGAGGATCGTAGTTAGAAGCCAGCCCAAGCAAATAGTTTGCCAGACCCTACCTCAAAAAAAAAAAAAAAAAAAAAGGGCCGGTGGAGAGGCTCAACTTATAAGCCCAGAGTTCAAGCCCCAGTACAACAAAAAAAAAAAAAAAGAAAAAGAAAAACCCTCAAGACACATTATTATAACTAGTTTGAACAAGTCCACATAGAGAACTTAGTTTATTTTTTTTCCTGAGCGGGGGGAGGGCAGTACTGGGTTCTAAATTCAGGGCCTTGTGCTTGCCAGATAGGCACTCTACCAAGAGTTTAGCTTATTAAATAATTATCTAAGCACAACAATTTACCCACTTCACCATACTCCTCACCATGATTTGACGCACAAGCTTAATAGTTTCACTCCAAGGTCTATTTTGGTTAAATTTTGCATGGAGCCGTTCCAAGAGGGAACTCATCTTATTCAGCTTTTCCGACTCTACAATATAAATCAGAAAACATTATTAGAAACTTTTTTATATTAAGACCTTCCACAATTTTACTTGTACAAGAAACTCCCAACTTTCATCTCACTAGGAATTCAGTTAAATACTTTTCTGTATCATTTACTTCAAAACATATAAAGCTAGGCCAGGCATGGTGGCAAATGCCTGTAAATCCAGCACTTAGTAGGCGGAGGCCAAAGGACTGTGACTTTGAGGCCAACCTGGGCTACACCAGGAGACAGTGACTCAAAAACAAAACAAAAATAATGTGAAGATATTTTTATTATTTTTTTTCCATTTAGGTGGTCCTGGGTCTCAAACTCTGGACCACTAGGCCAGTGTTCTAGGGCTTGAGCCACTCTACCAGCCTTACTTTTTATTTACCTAAGACACTGGGTCTTGCTTTGTTGCCTAGGCTGGCCTTGATCTGTGTTCCAACATTTCTTTTGCCTCAGCTTCCCGAAGTAGCTGGGACTATAGATATGATACTACTACTATCATACCAGCTTAGGAAAAAAAAAAAAGACACACACATTTTGCTGTTGTTCTTGTTTTTGGAAACAGGGTCTCACCACGTAGCTCCAACTGGCCTAGAACTTGAATTCTCCTGCCCCAGCCTCACAAGTGCTTGTATTACAGGTGTATGTCACTATGACAGGCTTAGAAGATACTTTTAATGGCAAAAAGACACATACATTATAGGAACACCACCAACAGAATTGTTTTTCCATTCAAACTTTTAATAGGAACAAAAATAAAATCATCCCTAACCATGTTGCTATACATGAAATTCTTTGTATGTTATATTTTGAGTATATGTTTGAACATAAGACCAGGTCTCACTATGTAGCCCAGGCTGCCCTAGAACTCTCCATCTTGACTCAGCCTCCAGTGTGCCACTATGCCCAGTTTTTTTAGTTAGTTTTCGGTATGAAAATACTTATTTTCTTAAAGAAAAAAAAAAAAAAAGGAAAAAAGACAACAAAAAAGGACAAACAAAAAATAAAAATACTGCCTTCCTTAGTTTTTTTGTCATAATTTTAAGAGATCAATTTATAAGTATGATGAAGAAAACAGGTCTCCAGTATGGTGGTAAACACCTGTAATCCCAGCACTTGGGAGGCTGCAGCAGGACTGAGCATTCCAGGCCAGCCTGGGCTACACAGTGAGTTTGAGACTAGTGTGAGCTATCTAGTGAAACCCTGACTCAAAACAAAAAGAAGAAAAAAGAGAGAGAGAGAAAGAAAAGGAGGGAGGGAGGGAGGGAAGGAAGGGGAAAAGAAAGGGAAAGAATACAGGGAGAAGAAAAGAAAAAAAGGAATGAAAAGGAGGGGGACAGGAGGGAGTTAGGTCTATTTGAGGTTTAGATTGTTCCTATTTAATTCTAATTAAAATTATCTGGACAGGAAAGAGATCAATAACCAAAGGATGAGTTTCTAGCAGAGGTTAAGAGAAAGGCAGAAGGGATGATGGGACATGGTTCAAATGGTAGAGCACTTGCCTAGTAAGCAAATTGAGTTCAAACCCAACTGCTGTCCACTCCCCCCCCCAACACCCCGCACACCCTCCAAAAAAAGAGAAAGGCAGAGCTGGAGCTTTGGTGGCTCACGCTTGTAATCCAACCTACTTAGGAGGCAGAGATAAGTAGGACTGCAGGTCAAAGCCAGCCTGGGCAAATAGTTCATGAGACCCTATCTCAAAAAAGTTCATCACAAAAAAATGGCTCTTATAGTCCCTCAAGGTGTAGGCCCTGTGTTCAAACCCAAGTACAGGAAAAAAAAAAAAAAAAAAACATGAGAGAAAGAGAGAGAGAGAGAGAGAGAGAGAGAAAGAGAAAGAGAAAGGCAGAATAGACTGGATCCTAGAGTAAGCAAGCATATAAATGAATCTCCAAAACCCACCAAAGTTCCTATAATTCTTAAACTGCCTAATATGAGTAGACCTGTGCTATAGACCACTAGAGATGAATAAATATACTTGAGATGATTATCTGTGCTCTCAACCATTGGGAAAACTGGTTTGGGGCCTATTTTAGCCAGTTTATAGTTCTGCACACATTTCTGCCAGTACTCACTTTAAAGTCACTCATTCAAGCACAGTTGTAGCAAACTAGACAAAAACAACCTTGCAAGGTTTGCTTTTTAAACCTTGTGATCCCCTTGCACCCAAGGCATACACCTCTTTTCTTTATGTCCTTTGAAACACACTCCTTTTTTTTTTTTCCCCCTTTGGTGGGACTGTGGTGTGAACTCAGGGATTTGCGCTTGCAAATCCCTGAACCAAACCTCCAGTTCCTTTTGCTCTGGTAATTTTGGAAATGGGGTCTCAACAACTATTTTTCTAGGCTGGCCTCAAACCGCAATCCTCCCAATCTCAGCCTCCCAAGTATCTAGGATTTACAAGCATGAGCCACCAGCACCCAGTCACACACTTTTTCTTGAGAAGCCTGATGAAAAATACTTTCACTTTTATGCTCTAATCAAACTTTTTCTGAGCAACTATTATATGTCAAAGACTATATACAGCTGAGTAAGGCAGGGTCCCTGATCTGCGAGGCTCTGAGTAAACTAGAAACATAACAATAAAATAAGCTCTATTAATAGAAGCATACCCAAAATTCTCAGGAAGCATTTAACAGAAGTGTGGGAATTTAGAGAATCTGAATAAGTTCCTCAGAAGAATAGTTTTGCAGCAGTTCTGAGTTAGTTAGACTATGGAAAGGATGAAATCTCCACGGTTTAAAAAAATATACAATAGCACAGGATCTGAACAATATGACATTCTAGGAAGTTGTCAGCTTTTAATATTGTAAGGAACTAAATGATGTCACTTACGGCAAAACACCCACCAGTACTTTTACACTATTCTGTTCTTGTTTCTATGTCATAATCCAGACGTCTCTTCCGAATCGAGTGGAAGCAGGTTTTAGATACACTCACCTGGTCTCCCACCACTCCAGGCTCAAAAGTGCTCTGAGGCTCAACTAATTGTCACCAGTCGTGCAGTGAAACCTTCAGAGAAGTTGGAAGGCCCCATCCATCACCTCAGAGTCGGGGCTCTATCATCACTAAAGAAGGCACGGTCAGAATCTAAAACACACATTGCGCCTCCCGGACTCTATGCTCTCTGGAAAGTGGTCCTCATCCGGCACCGGCCCCCAACTCCTCTCACAGACTGGTTCCCCCCAGCTGTGTCCCGCACGCTCCTTTCCCCCTCAGCCACTCACCCTCGGTTTCCCCCTGAGCCTTCATCCTGACGGCGGTGATGGCCTGGGTCCGCCACAAGAGGATAAACCTTTCCCCACCACTGTCAGGGGAACCAACTTGGCTTGAGCTCCCGGGACGCAGGGAACCAGCAGTCCCCACTATTCTGGGGAAGGTTCAGTCTGAAGTCTCCGGCGGCAAGAAGAGAAGGGTGCTCGCGGCCGCCGCCATCTTCCCCAACGGAACTTCCTAAAGATCGCGAGAGTAACCGTGATCCTGCGAGACATAGGAAGAGAACTAGACATCAAAATCTCGCGAAAATTGGTTAGTGTGTGCTTCCCGCGAGGTTTTTTCCAACCTACCCTGCCCTTCACTACTGCTTGTTAGAATTCCTATCACTGGGTATTGAAGTTGTGAGTTGGTAGAGTTCGGCGTCTGCAAAAACAGGAATTGTCTTTTTGGTTTTTTTGGGCGGCACTGGGGTTTGAACCTAGAGTAGGCGTTCTTTCTGCTTGAGCCACTCCGCCGACCCGGGAAGCCGAAATTTTCATTTTGACAGTTAAACATTTTGCAAATTAAAACTTCTAGCACCCAGGGCAGCTTTTCAAATAATATTGATAATCAGTAATGTTTTATTCAAGATATAAGATAGAACCTTTTCGGTGAGCGTGTAGCTCACTGGTAGAACGCGCGGTTAGCAAGAGCTATGGACCTGGGTTTGCTACCCGGCGGCGCAAAAAAAAAAAAAAGGGCCGGGCGCCAGCGAAGCCAGCCCAGGCAAATAGTTTGTGAGACCCTCTCTCGAAAAGACCTAGCACAAAAAAGGGCTGGTGAAGTGGCTCAAGGTATGTAGTCCCTGAGTTCAAAACCTCAGTACCGCAAAAAAAAAGTTTCTCTGAGATACCAAAGGCAGTAGTTATATCATAAAAAGATACTGGTGCTTTGTAACACGACATTCGAAACGAGCCTAACACAATTTCCATTTTATAGTTTAATTTTTTTTCTTGCGGTTCTGGGGTATAAACTCGGCTTCGCACTTGCTAGGCAGGCGCGCTACCATTTGAGCCACTCCGCCAACTTCTAGTTGTTTCGCTTTTTTTAATTTTTGTAACTACTTCTTGAGCAATTATAATTTTGAAAATTTGGGAAACTTGTAGATTAAGGTAAATTTGCAGCAGTCAATGCATCTGATGCTGTTATATTTATTGTTTATCGATTTGTATCCCTTTTTTTGTTTTCCTAGTGAAAACAAGCAGCTTAACTTGTTCTGCACACTGTAAATCACGAAAACATGTAGTCGCTATATCTTGTGTCAATAAATCGTCACAAAAAGAAATTCAGAGTAATGCTGAGATGTTCATGGCCTCTGGAAACAAAGAGCCAGACTAAAATGCAACAGTGATAGCTATGGGTGAAAGTTCTTAGTATAGTTAAACTTATATAAGTTAGGATAGGTTTTTGTTTTTTGTTTTTTCATTGCAAAACAGGTGCTCTATGGCCTGAGCCACATCTCCAGTCTATTTTACTCTAGTTATTTTGGAGATGGGAACTTGTAAAATATTTGTCCAGGCTGGCCAACCACAATCCTCCCGAACTCATCCTCCCAAGTAGCTAGGATTACAGGTATAAACCACCTATAAGGCTGGCAAGCCTGCTTTTTTTTTTTTTTTTTTTTTTTTTTTTTTAGTGTTCTTTTTCCTACACATCCTTGGAAATAATTATTGCTGAAAAGTTGGATTTAACTCGGTTTGTTGCAAGAATTTTAAGCAGATTTCTACTGGCTCAGATTTTCCCCACATTTCAAAAAACGCTATTCAAACATTATCCAAAGATTCTCCAAAGCCATCCTAGCAGATACTGCAGTTTAAGCGAGCAGGAGTGGCAGTATAATCTTAGTAAAAACAAATCTTTGGAAATATCTGGGAATATGTTTACTGTCACAAGGGTATCTATAGCATGTCCCTTGAAAGTAGGATGTAAACTTTATTTGTTGTCTAACTTATCCTCATTCCTTAGATGCACTGTAGTGAGTTACTTGGGGGCAAGAATTGCTTTTTGTTTCTCAATCCCCAGTATATAGCACTGTACATGAACCTGGTAAACGAATCCTTTACTGAGCTTACCTACCTTGTTAGACCCAACTGTTCTCCGTTTGCCACTCCCCAACCTCATTTGAGAAAATCCATGCATTCCTTGCTCTCTCTCTCTTTCTCTCTCTTCCCCCCCCACCCTCCCTCTCTTTTTTTCCGCCCCCGCCCCCTTTCCCCTCCCTTCCTCCCTCTCCCCACCCAATGAACTACATCCCCAGCCAGCCAGGCTATTTTATTCAGATTTCAACTCAACTTAGATATCCCTTCTCTAGAAAAAGAAGCAAAACTTCTCTGACTCCTAACTTGAAATCTTCTATTTAATTGAGATTTCTTGGGCTGGGGATGTAGCACAGTGGTAGAGTGCTTGCCTTGCATGCACAAGACCCCTTGTTCAATCTCCAGCACTGAAAAAAATATACATATGTCCATATTTGTGAGGCAGATGCTCTACCGCTTGAGCCACACCTCCAGCCCATCAGACTTCTGAATAGGACTTTGTCAAAATTAAGTGTTTAGTGATTTGTCCAATGCCTGTCTTCCCTTCTGGACTATCAGGAAGGTTGCATTAGATCTCTTCACAGCTCTCTTCAGTGCCTAGCCACAGCTCCTGACATGTGTCAGGAATTCAATGTATATAGTTGAGATAAACTGACAGGGTTCCTAGATAAAATACAGAAAACTAACTTAAATTTGAATTTCAGATAATTTAATATTTTTAATAGACTAGTATGTCTCTGATGTTATGTACATAAATATTATATAAATCTTGACAGGCATGGTGTTATATGCTTGTAATCTCACAACTCTGGATGTTGAGGCCAGATTACAAGTTCCATGCAAGCCTTGGTTACATAGCAGGATCCTGTCTCACAAGCTCACACTCCTCCCCCCCGCCAAAAAAAAAACCAAAACAAATCAAGAAATATAAATCTGGTAACTCCTGAAATTGAAGTACAGACAGCATTTATCCAAATAGAAATTTTCAAAGATGATTCATATTTAAAATACTGTGACCTTTCCTATTGTCAAATGCTTTTTATTCACTAAGCACCTTTATTCCTAATATGTGTGTGTTGGCAGGTAATATAAACATGAAAACAAACCTTAACAATTTATGGACTCACTTGATACAGAGTTCTGAAAATGACTGATCACTATAATCACAGGCATTCAAAAAATTTTTTGTTAATTATCATGCTCCAAGTACCAATGTCACTTAGATGCCCAGCTGTACTTTCACATTGAAACTATACAATTAATAATGTCTGTACTAAATGTAACTACAAAAATGTAAATCTTACAAAGCTTGTACATAGAGCAAACTGAAGCAAATTTTGGTTCTGGAATAGAATGAGAAGTTATTGGTCATTGGAAATGCAGATGAGAAGCCAGGCAACAGTGGCTCATGCCTGTAGTCCTAGCTACTCAGGAGGAAGAGGGCAGGAGAATTGCGGTTTGAAGCCAGTCTAGGCAAATAGTTTGTGAGACCCTATCTTGGAAATACCTAATACAAAAAGGGCTGGTGGAGTGGCTCAAGGTGTAGGCCCTGAGTTCAAGCCCCAGTACTGCAAAAAAAGAAAGAAAGAAAATACAGATGAGAGACAAGCATGGTGTTGAATGCCTATAATCCCAGCACTGGGAAGTCTAAGGAAGATCATGAGTTCAAGGCCAGTCTGGGTGGTATTTAGAGCCTCTGTCTCAAAAACTTAAAAAGAAAAGAAAATGCAGATGATCTTGAAAAAATTGCTCTAAAGAAGGAAAGACAGGAGACAAGTGTCACTAGACAAGAAAAGTATTCAAGGTATATAAAAGACATAAGAACTGTGTGGCACTACTTCTCTCCACTCTTCTCCACTCTCTTCAAATCTAAGAACGTGAAAGCTTTTGAAATGGTACTCCCCCCCAAAAAAAAAAAAACTGTGTTCGTATATGGCAAAATGTGGATAACGAGTAAATTGTAAATGGCTGAGCTTTGAGGAGGCTCAGAAGCTCCCTCCAGTGGGCTGGGTATTGAACCCAGGATCTTGCACATGCTAGGCAAGCACTCTACCACTAACCAACATGTCTAGTTCTCCAGAATCTCTCTCTCCTTCCCTCCCTCCTTTCCTCCTCCCCCTCTCCTCTCTCTTTTTTTTTTTTGTGGTGCTGGGATTTGAACTCAGGGCCTACACCTTGAACCACTCCACCAGCCCCTTTTTTGTGTTGGATGCTTTTGAGATAGGGTCTCATGAACTGCTTGCCTGGGCTGGCTTCAAACTAAAATCCTCCTGATCTCTGCCTCCTGAGTAGCTAGGATTGCAGGCATGAGCCACTAGTGCCTGGCTTTTTTTTTTTTTTTTTTAGTGAGGCTGAAGTTTGAACTCAGACTTGGGTGCTTGCAAAGCAGGTAGGCACTCACTGCTTGAGCCACACCTTCAGTCCATTTTGCTATGGTTATTTTGGAGATGGGGGTCTCATGAACTATTTGAGGTGGCCTCAAACTTCCTGATCTCAGCTTCCGAAGTAGATAGGATTATAGGCAGGAGCCATGGCACCAGTCCTCCAGAGAACTATTAAACCTAGTATCTCAATTAACAAATTGCTTTTGGAGTAGCTATTATAACTTTAAATATTTTCTTTGCCTATTTGGGGGGGTTACAGTGAAAGTATAGCTATCACAGTTGTCCCAACTCCCTGCCCCTCAAGGTTATACAAGTAAAGCAAATAGAGCAGCCTGGAATTACTAAGTTCAAAGTTTTTCTGTGAAGTGAAGCAATCTTTATTTTACAAAACTACTATTTTGACCAGTTATTGGGTGAAATTAAGCAGTTTAGAGATTTTTATTTAAAAAATTGAGAGCCAGTGTGGTGGTGCATACCTGTAATACCAGCACTGAGGAGACTAAGGCCAACCTGTCATAAAAAAAGAAAAAAAAATTGGACACAACATCAGATTTCCTAGAATAGAATTTCATCTACCAAAAAAGAGGAAGTGTGGTGAGATAGAAAAACTGCTGGTTTAGGAGTAAGAAGTGAGCTATGATGTAATCCTAGCTACTCAGGAGGCACAGATCAGGAGAATCACAGTTCAAAGCCAACCTGGGCAAACAGTTCGCAAGACCCTATCTCAAAAATACCCTTCACAAACAAGAGCTGGTGGAGTGGCTCAAGGTGTAGGCCCTGAGTTGAAGCCCCAGTACTGCCAAAAAAAAAAAAAAAAAAGTGAGCTGTGCCTGCTCTTGGCATTTATGAGACTTAGTGTTAACATGGTCAAATCCATCTTTTAATGAGCCCAAGTATGTCTCATATTGTCATCTGCTTATCATCTAAAACATTGGGGAGGACCTTTTATATCTAGGCCCCCCTGCAGCAGTAAATAACCAGTTATCATATCTGAATTCCAGTACTTAATTCTATCCTTTGTTTGTTTTTGCAATACTGGGGATTGAACTCAGCATTTTTGTGTGCTTGCAAATGCTCTATCACTGAACTACATTCCCAGCCCTGCTTTTTAATTTTTGAGACAGTTTTGCTAAGTTCCCCGGGCTGACCTGGTACTATGTAGCCCAGGCTGTCCCCAAACTCATGATCCTCCTGCCTCAATTTCTCCAGTTCTGGGATTGCAGGTGTGCATCACCACACCCAGACTCTTAATGTCGTATATCTTGTCGTATGAATGTACTATCTACATTTTATTTGCAGGCCTATTTAAGTGTGGGAACTATTACACAGAAGAGGGCCTTGAAATCTCACATACTGATTTTTTTTTTCTTATGATGCTGGGACTCAAACCAAGAGGCCATGTTTGCTAGACAAGTCCCCTACCTCTAGACTATATTCCCCAGCCCTTTACATACAAATATGTTGAAGGAAAAAAGTGAGGAAACTTGAGAAAATTCCTTTTCTGTGCCTTCATTTTCTCTTATACAACTCTATTTCAGAGAATTGTGAAATGTCATGGGTTAACATATGTGGAGTTCTGAAAAGTAAAAAATGAGAGGCCAGTGTAAGGTGTCTTCTCATATATATATATTTATTTATTTATTTTTTTGCGGTACTGGGGTTGAACTCAAGGCCTACACCTTAAGCCACTTCACCAACCCTTTTTTTGTGATGGGTTATTGAGAGATAGGGTCTCGCGAACTATTTTCTTTGAACCACGATCCTCTTGATCTGTCTCCTGAGTAGCAGTGATTACAGTCATGAGCCACCAATGTCCTGCTGTAATCTTTTGGGTGATGGTAAAGTTATGCCCTGAGAGCCATGGGAGTATTTCAAAAGTTTTCAGGTTCTTAGATTTGAAGAGAGTGGAGAGAGGTAATGCCACCCAATAGAAAAACTTGTGCTTTAGCATCAGACAGACATGAGTTTGAATCTGCTGCGGCACTTGCAGGACAAGCTTTACTACCCTAAACTGTTTTAACAGTTCCGAGTCTGGGATTCCTTATCTATATAATAGGCAGGGGGATATTGTGTCCTACAGGGTACTTGTGAGAATTACAGAAAACGTACGTAAAATGTCTGGCACGTTAGTATACATCATAAAAATGGGAAGCACTGTTTAAACACTTAAGGTACTTGGGTTGCAATGTCTCCATATTCGTCCTCTGCCTTGCTAGAAATATTCTTGATAGTTAAAAGACGATTGTTGTGAAATATGCTAAGATGCGTTTGTACTGGAACCTGGGAATGTTTGTTCAGTGAGTTCAGGTTTTAAAATTTTGCTAGCTCGGTATCAATACAGCTTTTCTCAAATGGGAGATCTAAACTTATCGCGAGAGTCTAACGGGACGCGTCTGTTGCTCGGGTCCTGTTCTCGCGTTGTCTGATTAAATAGTAGGTAGAGGTGAAAGGAGCACGAAGTATCGCGAGAGCACATTTGACTCTCGCGATAATTTCTGAGCTTGCCCCTCCCCCTCCTCCAAGTGCCGTTTCGGTTTAAGCTAGTGTGTGACTGAGTCTGTGTGAGGGAGCGAGTGTGTGTGTGTGTGAGGTACTGAGGTGAGGCGGAGGCTAGAAAAGGGGCTCCCTCAGGAGCAAGGGACAAAAGGGGAGTGAGGCACCTAGGCCGCGGGACCCGGCAACAGGAAGCCGTCCCGAGCCGGGCTACCGGGTAGGGGAAGGGCCCGCGCAGTCCTCACAGGGCCCCAGAGCCGGAGTCGGCCCCACACCCGGGCCGTCGGCTTCCTACTTCCTCGACCTCCCGGGCGCCTGGGCCTGAGGATTGGCTTGGCTGGAGGGTGGGGGCAGACTTCGAGCAGCTACCCGTTGTCTCGTAACTCCACTGCTGAAGAACTCTCGTTTCTTCTCTCGCTCCTTCACCCCCCACCTCATGTAGGAGGGTGCTGAGGAGTCGCGAGGGAGGAGGAGCCTGGCCTACCGTCCCTTCCCTCCCCACCCCCTTTTAGGAGCGCTTTGGTGGGCGTGGAATTGGGGTTGGGGGGAGGGTGGGGGTTACTTTGGAGTACAGGGGAACATTTTCCCCCTCTTCAGGCCAGGGGAAAGGGAATGCCCAATTCAGAGAGACATGGGGGCAAGAAGGACGGGAGTGGAGGAGCTTCTGGAACTTTGCAGCAATCGGGAGGTGGCAGCTCGAACAGCAGAGAGCGTCACCGCTTGGTTTCGAAGCACAAGCGGCATAAGTCCAAGCACTCCAAAGACATGGGGTTGGTGGCCCCTGAAGCAGCATCCCTGGGTACAATTATCAAACCTTTGGTGGAGTATGATGACATCAGCTCGGATTCGGACACCTTCTCTGATGACATGGCCTTCAAATTAGACAGGAGAGAGAATGATGAACGTCGTGGAACGGATCGGAGTGACCGCCTGCACAAACATCGTCACCACCAGCACAGACGTTCCCGAGACTTATTGAAAACTAAACAGACCGAAAAAGAAAAAAACCAGGAAGTCTCCAACAAGTCGGGATCGACGAAGGACCGAATATCAGGAAGTTCCAAGCGCTCAAATGAAGAGAATGATGAACATGGGAAGGCACAGGTAGCCAAAAGCAGCATCAAGGAATCCAGGTCATCCAAACTCCATAAGGAGAAGACCCGGAAAGAACGCGAGTTGAAGTCTGGACACAAAGACCGAAGTAAAAGTCATCGGAAAAGGGAAACACCCAAAAGTTACAAAACAGTGGATAGCCCCAAACGGAGATCCAGGAGTCCCCACAGGAAATGGTCTGACAGCTCCAAACAAGATGACAGCCCCTCAGGAGCTTCTTACGGCCCAGACTACGACCTTAGCCCCCCAAGATCTCATACTTCTAGCAATTATGATTCCTACAAGAAGAGTCCTGGAAGTACCTCAAGAAGGCAGTCCATCAGCCCACCTTACAAAGAGCCTTCTGCGTATCAGTCCGGTACCCGCTCACCCAGTCCCTACAGCAGGCGACAGAGGTCTGTGAGTCCCTATAGCCGCAGACGGTCGTCCAGCTACGAAAGGAGTGGCTCTTACAGCGGGAGATCACCCAGCCCCTACGGGCGAAGGCGATCCAGCAGCCCTTTCTTGAGCAAGCGTTCTCTGAGTCGGAGTCCACTCCCCAGGTGAGTCTTCCCTAAGGGGTGGGGGTGGGGGGCGGGAGAGGGTGAGGATCAGGCAGACCCCTAGTGTTCATCATTGACTAGGTTGTGTAGTCATTGATTAGGTGAGTTGGTGAATTAACTAAGGAGGTGAATCTAGTCTCCCCTTAACCCAGAATTTGAGAAGTAAAGATTACACATGCCTTCAGCTGTAAAGGTAAGTACTTCTCAGTAGTGAGGTCTTCTGTCCTAAGCATCTTTTGGACAAAAGTCGTAGGTTTTTGCGTACTAATGAGTGCATAGTATTGATAGGAGTTCCCAGAGCTTGTTCAGCTATTTATGACTTTGCCTTGAATTTTTAAAAATCACCTCGGTATTAGTGCTCAAGCTTTATTGGAACTGAGTGGAGATTTGAGAGATTACAAATGTCTGTTTGTGTTATATTGAGGCTATTTGCCTAGGTTATCCTATCAGTTGTGCTGTCTACTGGATCGCCAAACCTGTAAGTTTCTTCATTGCCTAATTGTCACTGTTTTAACTAACTGAAGAGTCCTCTTTTAACTGATGTTTTGGTAGAAGTTCAGCTGATTAGGCCTTTTCCTTTTGATATTGTATGGCCTAGCAGAAATTGGTTCCAAAGACAATTTGGTTTTCTTTACAGCATCACTATTGACCTCCTATGTGACCCCTGGCAGTTTCAAAACTTTCCTTTAAGAATATGGTAGCACTGCCTTTACCATAATATTTTTTTTTTGCAAGAAATTCATGTCATTTTGAAATTTTAGTGTTGAGAGTGAATTATCTGTGGAAAATTTTGTTCTCATTTCTAGGTAATGAAATGTATCTCTTTTGTGGACTCACCTCTGCCCACAAAAACAGAACATGAACTTTAGCTGGATCTGAGTTGAATTCTAATATTTCTTTGTGACCTTTGGCAAATGATTTAATTTCTCCATACCTGAGTTTCTTCATGTGTAAAATGAAAATAATAATCACCAACTGCTAGGGTCATTGTGAGGATTATATTAATAAACATGAAGTGCGTAGCACAGTGCCTTGTACACTCACAGAGCTTCACTCTATAAGTGATGATAATGTTAACATTGGTAAAAAACTGCTCATTTGGAAAAAAAATCCATGCATTTGTTTTATATGTCAGTAGAGTTTTTGCTGACTTAAAATTACAGTTATTCAAAAGGTAGTGTGAAAATTGTCAAACTGCAGAGTTCTTATCAAGGGCTGAGTTTCATAGTATGTTCTCATTTTTTTTTCTTTGGCAGCACTGGGGTTTCTACTTGAGCCTCACACTTGCCTTGAGCCACTCCACCAGCCCTGTTCTCATTTATTATTAAAAGTTTCAAACACAGGTTGAAAGAATTACAGTGAACACCTTTGTATCTAAAACCTAGATTCTATAGTTAATATTTGCCGTATATTCGATCACATACCCATTTCCCTATCAATCCATCTCTTGCTTTGATTCATCTCAAAGTTACAGGTATTAGTATAATTCCCTCTAAACACTTTAGCATTCATACCATTTCCTGCAGTTGCAGTATTTTTTTGGAGGACGAAGGGTTAGATTTATATATAGTGAAGTGCATAAATTTTAAGTGTACCATTTGTAAAATTACATAATTTTTAAAGGAAGCTTAGGAAGTATTCTTAGAATTTTATTTTCATCTTTTTTTTTTTTTTCTGAGACAGAGTCTTGCTGTGTATCCCAGACTAGCCTCAAACTCATCTCATGATCTTCTGTTTCAGTTGTTTTTTTTTTTTTGGTAGGTAATGGGTTTTGAAATGAGGGCATCATGCTTACTAGGTAGGTGCTCTACCACTTGAGCCATTCTCCTAGCCCCTATCTCATCCTTGAGAATACCTGGAGTTACATGTGTGCACCACCACGCCCAGCTAGAATATTTGTTTTCTTGAGAGGGTATTAAGGCTATCTGAAGAATTTTTACTGTTACAGGATTTGGAAATACAGAAGCCTAAAACATTAAAACGAGTTTAAGTGAGAGCTTTTTCACAATGATTCCTTTTAGATTCTTTGAGAAAACAGCATATCTCAAGTCCTCTTAAGTAAGTAGAGGAAACTGCTCACCAATTAAAACTAGTGCAGTAATAGCAAAAAATCTAGACACAATATGGTAGCAGAGGATGCAAGCATAAACATTCTTATAGTATTCCTGGAAACATAGGCACATTTTTTTGTTGCTTTGCAGAGAGAGAGAGAGAGAGAGAGCATTATGTGTATGTATGTATTTATTACATATTTTTCTTCATTCACTGGAATTTTCAACAGTAAGTGCAAAAATTTTATAGAGTAGAAACCAGCATGGTGATACACAGCTGTAATCATAGCATTTAGGAGGCTGAGGGAGAAGGATTACAAGTTTCAGGCCAACCTGGGCTACATGGGGGAGAATCTCTTCAAAAACAAAAAACAAAAAAAAAATTTTTTTTTTTTTAATTTTTTTTTTTTTCCAGTTCTGGGGCTTGAACTCAGGGCCTATACCTTAAGCCACTCCACCATCCCTTTTTTGTGATGGGTCTTGAAAACCGTTTGCCTGCATTGGTTTGGAGCTTTGATCCTTCTGATTTCTGCCTCCTGAGTAGCTAGGAGGATTATAGACATGAGCCACCAGCACCTAATGAAAAAAAAATTTTTGTACAGATGATGGCAAGAAAAAAAATTTTTTTGTAAGGTATGTTACCCTTCTATGTTATTCTCTATTTTTCCCTTGGGAGACACAGTCAAACAAGCAACATTGTTATTTATTTTTTGCGATACTGGGGTTTGAACTCAGGGCCTACACCTTGAGCCACTTCACCAGCCCTTTTTATGTGATGTTTTTTTCTGAAATAGGGTCTTGCAAACTAGTTGCTGTCTTTGCATACACCAAATTAACAGTGATTAATAGTAGCAATTTCGCCAGTTGCAGTGGCTCACTCCTGTAACCCTAGCTAATTAGGAGGCAGAGATAACAAGGATCTAGGTTCAAAGCCAGTCCCAGGCAAATAGTTTCTGGGACCCTATCTCAAAAAACCCCTTCACAAAAAAAAGGACTGGTGGAGGGGCTCAAGGTATAGGCCCTGAGTTCAAGCCCCTGTTAAAAAATAAATAAGTAAAAAATAAAGGGCTGTCAGAGTGGCTCAAGTGGTAAGAGCACCTGCCTAGCAAGCATGAGGCCCTGAATTCAAACCCCAGTACTGCCAAAAAAAAAAAGCAACTTCATTTCAAATGGATGGATAGAAATGAACTTTTTTAGGGGAAAAAGTACTTTTTTGCTGTGGTGATGGTGGTGCTAGGGATTGAACTGAAGACCTTGCACATGCTAAGCAAGGACTGTGCTTATTTTTATAGGTCCATTACTTGCTGATTTATTTTACTTTTTTTTTTTTTTTTTTACCTATTGTCCTCTCTTTTTTCTTTGAGTAGATCTGGAACTCAAATATAGCATTTGTATCACTAAAAATGCCACAAGTAGATATCCATTCAAATGTCTTAGTAACAATAGGCCTCTGTTTAGAAATTGAAGGGTTTGTAGCTGAGTTCTTCAGGAAGAACTGGTCATTTGAAAAACTAAAGAAGCAATAGTTTGTAGTACATGGTAGCTATCATTATTTAGCATTTAGGATTTAGACATTTTCTCTGGGATAGAACTTTTATTTCAGCTACCATTCAAGCTGAGAACATGTTCGGCCAAGTATTTCAGGGTGAGTATTAGTTTTCTTAAGGATGAAAAGATATTTGGTAAATCTGTTGAACTACTTTCAATATTTTATATCCTTATGTGCTGTTACTGTTGCTTTTAATACTGATTCTAGTTTATATGTGTGTGTTTATCTGTCTGTTTACTTTTTTTTGTGTATGGTGTCGGGAGTTAAACCCAAGGCCTAGCCCATGCTAGTGAAGCACTGTACCACTTGAGCCATGTCTTTTTTTTTTTTGAGATAGAATCTAGCTGACTTTGCTGAGACTAACATCAAACTTGTGATTATTCTCCATCTGTTTCTTTAGTAGCTGGGATTATAGACATGTAACACCATGCCCAGCTTCCAGTATATATATATTTTTGGGCAGCACTGGGGTTTGAACTCAGGGCCTCATGCTTGCTATGCAGGTACTCTTACAGCTTTAGCCACTCTGCAGCCCTTTTTTGTGATGGTTTTTTTTTCAAGATAAGGTTCTCCCAAACTGTTTGCCTGCACTGCCTTTGAACTATGATCCTCTTGATCTCTGCCTTCTGAGTAGCTAGGATTACAGACGTGAGCCACTAGTGCCTGATTCTTAACTAATTTTTTGAGTAAACTTCTGAAAAGCAACATAGATTAAAAACAAACAAAAAAAACCTCGATGCCATCATATGAGTTGTTTCCCTAACACATATATGCTGTTTTGAACCATTTTGATTTATATCAGTCTTACCAGTGATCAAAAATAAAGGGAAATATTAATGATTTGGAATGGGAAATTTGTTTTAGACTGATGGGCAAACTGTTTTATCAGATCACTTTTTGGTCCAGTCACAGCACATTTAGTGGGTGTTTTTTTTTTTTTTTTCCCTCACATTGAAGCTTGAGCAGGGCGTTAAAAAAAAAAAGGGAATTAATGAGAAGTGGGTTTTAATTTAGAATAATCTGCCTCATAGATTTCTAGATTTTATTTCCCAGTCTTTCCTTTTTTTTTTTTTTAAAATATGGAATGCTTCACGAATTTGCGTGTCATCCTTGCGCAGGGGCCATGCTAATCTTCTCTGTATCGTTCCAATTTTAGTATATGTGCTGCCGAAGCGAGCACCCCAGTCTTTCCTTATGAAGAAAATTAAAGCTGGGCGTCAGTGGTTTATGCCTGTAATCCAGCTGATCAGGAGGATCAAGGTTCAAAGCCAATGCCAGGCAAATAGTTCATGAGACCCTATTTTGAAAGAAACCCGTCACAAAAAGGTGCTGGTAGAGTGGCTCAAAGTGAAGGCCCTGAGTTCAAACCCCATGAAACAAAACAAAAACACCAAAAATCAAAAAAAGAAAGAAAGAAAATTAATTGAATTTAGGAGGTGGAGATGAGAGAAGAGTATGGTTTGAGGCAGGCCAGGTTAAAAGCTAACAAGACCCCAAAAAGCTAGCTGTGATGGTGCATGCCTGTAATCCCAGCTATAAGGGAGGCTATAGGTGGTAGGATCACAGTCCAAGACCAGCCATCTGGGACAAAACACATGACACCCTGTCCAAAAATAATTACTGCAAAAAGAGCAAGGAGCTAGGCTAAAGTGGTAGAGTACCTGCCTAGCAAGCAGGAAGCCCTAAGTTCAAATCTCAGTCCTGCCCCCTAAAAAAGAAAATTATTTGAAAAATGCAGTCATACCTTGCCTTATGAGTTCAAAAACTTAATTGGAAATAAAGTTTCCAATTTTTAAAAGTACCAGGACATATAATCTTAGTACTCAGGAGGCTGAGGCAGTTGGATCTCAAGTTTAAGGCCGGCCTGGGCTACATAAAAAGACTATGTCTTAAAAACACAAAAAATAAAAGTAAAGTTTTAGGAACTGCCATATTTTTTAAAACTTCTAATTATTTTGGTGAACTAGTTTCTCCAATTTGGTTGTTGGCAATGTTAACTTTTGTATGTTGGGGGTTTGTTTCCTATGGGCACAACTTTATTATAAAACAGGCTACAGGAGCAACATATTTTCTTGGATATCTCCCTTCCCTTGCTAGGCAAGCGCTCTACCACTTGAACCATGCTGTAACTCTTAAAATATGGCTTCTTTATCATGTTTTCACTATCAAAGATTGAAACTAGAGAGGAGTGGGAGTTAGGGAAGATAAGATTAAAACCAAAATTGTGAATATGGTTGTTTGCCTATTTGGGAAAAAATACTCTTCTAATTTTTAGTGTTACATGATTCAAATATGTTTTCATGTAAGATTTAGTTCTTTCTATTTTTTTAAGTGAGCTTTTATGTCTTAGGATAGTTTTAGATTTACGGAAAAATTATGAAAAATAGTACAAAGAGTTCTTATATATCCCTGTACCCAGTTTTCCCTATTGCTAACATCTTACATTAATGTGGTACATTTGTTAAAACTAAGCAACCAATACTGATATATAATTATTAACTGAAGTCTAGTAATTTTTTTCAGATTATTGACCTTTACCTAATACTTATTTTCTGTTCCACAATCCCATCCATGATAGGATACTGCAAGACATTTAGTTGTCATGACTACTCTGTAGGTTCCTTTAGGTTGGGGTAGTTTCTCTGACTTGGTGTACCTGATCTATTTTTAGATTAATAAATTACTCAGAATGGGTTTAAAGTTACAGTTCTCCAGTTTGTTTCTCCAGTCTGTTTTATTCCATATATTACTGTAGTTTGTCCATTTTAAACTGCCTTTTTCTTTTTCCAGTAGAAAATCCATGAAGTCCAGAAGTAGAAGTCCTGCATATTCAAGACACTCATCTTCTCATAGTAAAAAGAAGAGATCGGGATCACGCAGTCGTCATTCCAGTATCTCACCTGTCAGGCTTCCATTGAATTCCAGTCTGGGAGCTGAACTCAGTAGAAAAAAGAAGGAAAGAGCAGCAGCTGCTGCTGCAGCAAAAATGGATGGAAAGGAATCAAAAGGTTCACCTATAATTTTGCCTAAAAAAGAGAACAGTTCAGTAGAGGCTAAAGATTCGGGCTTGGAGTCTAAAAAGTTACCCAGAGGTGTAAAATTGGAAAAATCCGCCCTAGATACTGAACTGATGAATGTAACGCATCCAAACACAGAGGTCAAAAATTCTTTAGATACAGGGAAAGTAAAGTTGGATGAGAACTCTGAGAAGCATCCTGTTAAGGATTTGAAAGCACAGGGAACAAGAGACTCTAAACCTTTAGCATTGAAAGAGGAGATTGTTACTCCAAAGGAGACAGAGACATCAGAAAAGGAGACCTTTCCACCTCTCCCCACAATTACTTCTCCACCCCCTTTACCAACCACTACCCCTCCACCTCAGACACCGCCCTTGCCTCCTTTGCCTCCATTACCAGCTATTCCACAGCAACCACCTCTGCCTCCTCCCCAACCAGTATTTAGTCAGATTTCTGTTTCCAGTACTTCAACTTTGCTCCCTTCTACTCACACAAGGACATGTACTCTGTCCTCTCAGGCAAATTCTCAGCCCCCTGTACAGGTTTCTGTGAAGACTCAAGTATCTGTAACAGCTGCTATTCCACACCTGAAAACTTCAACATTGCCTCCTCTGCCCCTCCCACCCTTGTTACCTGGAGATGATGACATGGATAGGTAAGTTCCAGAGTTAACTGGGGAAAACTAACCCTCTTGATCTAAGTGTAATGTATTTTCTGGGTTAGTTGGTTTGGTTTGAGACAGGGTCTTGCTATCTAGCCTAGGCTAGCTTCAAACTCAAGATCCTCCTGGCTTATCCTCCTGAGGATTGGGATTACAGATATACACCATATATGCCTGGCCATATTTTCTGTTTTTAACTTGTCTTAATTTTCTGTTTTAAACCTTGTCAAAACTAATGCATGGCTATTTAAGATGCTTTTATAAATAAGAAATGCCTTTGATGTTTGGTTTTCAGTGGAAAAGTCATGACATTATTAGTTGGGAAGAGCGTAGAACTTGAAGCCTACTAAGCCTGTTTTCTTATAAGTTTATTTATTGATAAGGCTAATTTTTTTTTTTTTTTTTTTGCGGTACTGGGGCGTGACTCGGGGCTTTCACCTTGAGCCATTCCACTAGCCTTATTTTTGTGAAGGGTTTTTTGCGATAGGAGCTCGTGGAACTATTTGCCTGGGCTGGCTTTGAACCATAATCCTCCTGATCTGTGCCTCCTGAGTAGCTAGAATAACAGGCGTGAGCCACCAACGCCCAGCTGATAAGGCTGATTTTGATTAAAAAATTTTAAATATTTACAGTTTTCCCCTTGTATTTTTATTTTGGAAATTTTACTGTCTATGGAAAAATTGATAATTCAATATCTATATGAAAAATTAATAGAATATCATTGATACCTCTGCACTTTTCATTACTTTCAGCAAATGTTAACATTTTGCCAAATTTAACTGTAGATATGACACTTCTGAGTACTTCACCTTGTCTGTCCTCATACTGTTTTCCTATATACCTATATATTCCTATATACAATACCTTTGCCACCCTGAAAAATTTAGCATTGACAATATCAATAAACATTAGTGATATTTAAGTAACCTCAGTAGTCTCCAAAATGTCTTTCGTATTTGGGCTTTTTTTTTTCTCTTGTACTAGGGATTAAACCAAGAGCCTTGTGCATGCTAAGCAAACACTCAGCCACTGAGCTACATCCCCAGCTGAAAAGGGGCATTTATTTTTTAAATTATCCTGTAAGAAGCAAAGAAACAATATGTAGAATCTTTGCTAGTTAGAATATAATTAACAATGGAATAATAGGAAGAGCTTTAATTTTAATGAGTCCTTTGAGTATCGAGAACTGAAATGATTCTGTAGTGTGAATCTGATTTTATGGAAAGCTTTAAGAAAGATATTTATTGGCAGGGCTAGCTAGGCAAGACCACCAAACAGACGTGCTTTAGCAGGAACATATGCTAAGGCAATGTGTATGTTACTGGTTTTTCTATTGAGATCCTGCCCTCTTATTCTCTAGGGTATGAGTTGCATTTACTGCAACAACTTTTTCATTATAAGCACAGAAATAAGTACCACAGATCTTTGCATCCTAGACCAATTTCCAAGCCTTTATTACTTTATGATATCAGTAATGATTATACATTTAGATCTTATGATCTATGTTCTTTCATAATTACTCTCTGTGCCTTTTAAGAAGGTACAAGTGCAGTAAATGGAAAGAAAGAAACAGGGATTTTTTTTTTTTTTTGGTTATGTTCTTTGAAAAGTGTCACTTTGTTGCCCAGGCTGGGCTTGAATTTCTGGGTATAAGTGTTCCTTCTTCCTCAGCCTTGTGAGTACCTCAGACACTATAGGCACGCATCACCATGCCCAGCTTTAGAGTGTTGTAAAGAATGACTCCATTACTAGTCATAGTGGCCAATCTGATATTTTAAAAAAGTTCCACATGCTCTTTCTGATGTAAATAGGTATTTATTAATTCTGTTACATCCTGAGGATTACAAAGAAGGACAGAACTTTTTTTTTCTTTTTCTGGGACTAGAGTTTGAACTCAGGACTTCAGGCTTGCAAAGCAGGTGCTCTACAGCTTGAGCCACTCCTCCAGTCCATTTTGCTCTGGTTATTTTGGAGATGGAGTTTCTCCAACTATTTGCTGGGGCTGGCCTTGGAACTGAGAGTCTCCTGATCTCAGCCTCCCTTGTAGGATTGCAAGCGTGAGCCACTGACACCCAGCAGAACAGAACTTTTTGTATGTACAAAAATTTGAGGTACATAATATTTTTCTCATAGATTTAAGTCTACATGTAACTATGGAACCTATCAAACCTGTTGTGTCACAGAATGCAGACTTCTGGAGGTGGAATGATTGGACAGAAAGCACATAGGGATTTCTGTCTTTAATATTTGGGGAGACGAAGGGTAAAGTGGGTAAAGTAAGACCATCATCTGTGTGTGTATGGTAGGAGTGTCTATCTTGAATACGTATCACAGAGAATGAAGTAGAAAACTGCTTTTGTTACATCTTTTTTTTGTTTTTGTGGTACTGGTGTTTTAAAATCAAGGCTTCATGCTTGCGACGCAGGGGCACTCCATTGCTTGAGCCACACGTCCAAGTCCCTGTTTTTACTATATCTTGATTCTGATTCTGTAAATGTATTATTTCTAATTCAACATAATTATTTTGAATTTGATTATAGTTGTTTTCGTTATGTATGTAAATTATTAAAGGTAGTATAAGGGAAATGAAGATTTCTTCCATTATCAGTTTTTTTTTTTTTTTTTTTTTGTGGTACGGAGTTTGAACTCAGGACCACACACTTGCTAAACAGGTGCTTTACCACTTGAGCAGATCCGCCAACCCTGTTTTGTGTTGGGTATTTTTGGTTTTATTTATTTATTTATTTATTCTTTGTGTGGGTATTTTTGGGATAGGGTCTCTGGAAGTATTTGGGCTAGCCTTGAATTTCAGTCTCCTGAGTAGCTAGGATTACAGGCATGAGCCACTGGTGCCTGGCTTTTGCTTTTCATTTTAAATTCAAGATTTATTTATTTATTTGGCAAGGCACTGGTGGCTCACACTTGTAATCCTAGTTACTCAGAAAGGCAGAGATCAGGAGGATCATGGTTCGAAGCTGGCCCTGGGCAAACAGTTCATGAGACCCTATCTCAAAAAAAACCCATCACTCTGCTGGTGGAGTGCTTCAAGGTGTAGGCCCTGAATCAAACCCCAGTACCAGAAAAAAAGAAAAAAGGTTTTTTTTGATGCTACTTTATCATGCCAGTTGGACATGAAAAATAATTTTTATGTAAAAGAAACCTTTGCCAAAAGACATCTTGGATAGGGAATTCACTTATGTTCTTTCAACCTTATCTTCTTACTTAAGACTGCAGCATCTTAAATGATGAGAATGTGACTTATACATTTTTATTATTGCCTAAAGTACCTTAACATAAAGCATATAATACAATCAATAGATACTGATTATTTGAATAAAGGAATAAGTAAAACTTCTGAAAGTGCCTGAGTCAAGACGCTGGACATGTAGTTAAAACAGTTGATACATAGATAACAGAAGGCTTACATTAGAAAGTTCATTTGTTGTCTTTAACTCAGAGTCTTTTTGGAAGAATAAGGCTTTTCTTTCAAACATTTATTTTGCGTAGGAGTATATTAATCCAGCTATCAAATGCAGAAGTGAACTTAGTTAATAATATTTCAAAAGCTCTTATCATTGCTTCTACTTTTTTTCTTAAATACACAAATATGCAACTTAATCACTTCATGTGAACCTATGTACAAGTGTAAATGGGAAACCTGTAGCTACTGATTTTGATAAGGTGTACATCAGCATTTCTTGGTACTGAATCTTCAAATAATGGTTTTGACTTTGACATTTCCTGTACTATGTTAGACCTAACCTATCTGTCTACCACATGTCCTCAGCATTTATAGAGCTATATGTTATTTAGTATCTTACAGTAAAGGCTAACAGCCATAATGTTGTTAAACATTGTAGTTTTAAGAGCTATTATTAAATTTTCAAGGCTTTTAGTGTGCTTGAATTTATTGAAATAGAATTTGACCTCTGTTCAAATTATGTGTCCTGAACTGATGTTACATATCCTATCAGACATTCCTTCTTGGAAATTAACTTCCTAAAAGTATACTTTTTCAGAAGGAGTGTACTTTCTTTCATACAGCAAACTCTACTTGAAGCTATAAAATAAATCTTGGTAAAAACAAAACCTAAATATAAAATATAGACTGAACTTAAATGATAAAGAATATTCTGACAGTAGTTGAGAAATTATTAATTTTCCTTTCCTGAATATGTTAAAAATTGGAAAATTTTGTGTGTCTATATTACATCCTGGCTCAAGAGTTTTCTGCTAATAGGCTTTCTTCCCAGGGTAGAAAAAATCAGAGTACAGATTATGATGTGTGTTCACCTGGACCAGTAATTCAACAGGAAGTTTTAGGTGATTGTTTTGTATTTCACTGACTTACCTCAATTATGATTGATGGAATACAACTAACCTAGATTCCATTGTTTAGTCTCATTTACAAGGGATTAGAATGATAAAAATTAATAAAAAGTAATAATTCTTGGTTGTGTTCTTGTATTTTGAGAAAATGGCATTCTTTTGTTGAAAAGATAATTTTACACACAAAGAATAGCAGGTTTTGGTTTTTTGTTTGTTTGGTTGGTTTGGTGGTGCTGGGGTTTGAACTTGGGGCCTTGCACACTTGCAAGGCAGACGTTCTAGGCAGTAGTTTTTCTTTAAAAATGTATTATAAGGGCTATTATTCCCTTATTATTCCTCATGGTTCTAGGAAGTGTTCATGCAGAGCATCTATTTTTTTTTAAATGGAGGATATTAGCAGGGCGCCAGTGGCTCATACCTTTAATCCTAGCTATTTGAGAGGCTGAGATTGGATCAAAGTTCAAGGCCAGCCCGTGCAAATAGTTCAAGAGATCCCATTTTCAAAATAACCAGAGCAAAAGGGACTAGAGACATGGCTCAAGCATTAGAGCACCTGTTTTGCAAGCTCGAAGCCCTGAGTTCAAATTCTGGCGATACTAAGAAAAAGTATAAAAATGGATGATGCTGAAGGAGTTTTAAAATTCTCAGATTCCTGTCAATCTTCTAGCAACATGAATGAATAGATAAGCCAGTTTATTTGTAGGTATGAATTAGCATGCTACACTACAGATGTTTATTTTTGAAGTTGTATATGGCACAGAATCCATCTTTTACTCATAAATAAATTGAGAGGGTTAAAAAAAATTTAATCCAAAAATTAACTTTTCCAATCTATTCCAGGAAAAGTCCCCTCCACCCCCACACTGATTATTATAATTTGTAGGTTATTATGTGAGACCTTCTGCTACCAGTTGTCTTAATGATTCTGAAGTAGTTGTTTGGATGGTTTCTCCTTAGATTTTTAGGGTTTTTTTTTTTCTTTTTAATTCATATGTGCATACAACAAGATTTTTAGTTTGAGAGTTACTTGGTTTGTTTTGTCTGGTTAGAGATAGTTGCATTTTACTTCTAAACAAATAGTATAATTCAGTATATTTCTCACTAGTTTTGGTCTTCAACTTATTTCTTTTTTTTGTCTGAAAGCAGTAGTAAAGTTTATTAGGAAAGGAATGCACTTTCAAAAGACTGAAAGCGGGTTATTTCTAGAGTGAGAACAAGAATGATTGGCAGTGTTTCTTATGAAACACTATTATTTCCTTTTCCTAAGTTCTTTCCACATCTTTAGTAATAGAGTACTGTTAAATTACTGAGCTCTCATTATTTAAATTGTTGTAGTTTTCATGAATTCTGAGTTGCAGTGATACTTTGTGAGTTTCAGAGATTACTTCCTGAATTTTATTTCATCTTAATGAAAATCTAGGAATCTTAGGAAAGACATTAAAGAAAAAGTTTGATAAAGGAATTAAAAGTAATATCCTGAATTTCTCATTGTGGTTGATCATTTGTTTTGTTTTTGATAGGATCTTGCTATATGGCCCAGGCTGGCCTGAAGCTCTTCTATTTTATTTTTTATTTGGGCTGCAGTTTGAACTCAGGGCTTTGTGCTTACAAAGCATGTGCTCTAATGCTTGAGCCATGTCTCTAGTCCATTTTGCTCTGGTTATTTTGGAAATGGGATCTCTTGAACTATTTGCATGGGCTGGCCTTGAACTTTGATCCAATCTCAGCCTCTTAAATAGCTAGGATTATAGGTGTGAACCACTGGTGCCCAGCTGGGCTTTGAACTCTTGATCCTCCTGCCTCAACTTCCCAAGTGCTAGAATTTCATATATGCTCTACCAGGCCCAGCTAAAATTTTTATGTTTATATTAAAGATTTTGGGCTGGCAGAGTGACTCAAGTGATAGAACGCCTGCCTAGCAAGTTCAAACCCCAGTACTGCAAAAAAAAAAAAAAAAGTTATTATTTCCTTAAAATTAAAATCTTCATGCTCAAGAAAAAAAACTTTGTTTTACTAGCTAAGCTTTTATCTTTTCTTAAAGTTTATTTGCATATCTTTTAAGTAATCATTTTTCTTCACTTTCCCCTCTATTGTTTAGTCCAAAAGAAACACTTCCTTCAAAACCTGCAAAGAAGGAGAGAGAACAGAGAACACGTCACTTACTCACAGACCTCCCTCTTCCTCCTGAGCTTCCTGGTGGGGATCCATCTCCCCCAGACTCTCCAGAGCGAAAGGCAATTACACCACCCCAACAACCATATAAAAAGAGACCAAAGTAAGTTTTCAGAGCAATCTACCCTTTTTTTTTTTTTCTTGTGTGTGTGTGTGTGTGTGTGTGTGTGTGTGAAACTAGGGTTTGGTGCTTGCAAAGCAGGTGCTGTATACTGCTTGAGCCACACCTTCAGTCTGTTTTTTTGCTATGGTTATTTTGGAGATGAGGTCTCCCAAATTATTTGCTTGGGCAAGCCTAGAGCCTTGATCCTCCTGACCTCAGCCTCCCAAGTAGCTAGGATTAAAAGTGTGAGCCACCGGGACCCAGCTGGAGGGTTCTACTCTTAATTTCATCTTTCTTCCTTGCTTTGGGCCTAAATCTTGCATTTTCTTCCACAGCCCACATCAGTAAGCTCATAGATATTTGGTTCTAAAGTATACCTTTATTTTTATGGACAAAAGCCTTCCTAGAAAGGCTGCTCATCTGTGCCCACAAATATTTAGTACTGTTTTTAGTAAAGCAATAAATTCCAAAATCCAGATATATAGTGAACATTGATCTATCCCATTGTGTCTTTTGATTTTATAATCCGTGAGTATTAAAAAAGGTAAAAATCCTTAATTCAGTGTATGTCATCCATGTACACATTAATACAAAATTAAGTGGGATTTTTTTTTTAATACAATGTTTGAGTCATTTCTCCCCCATCCCCATAAGTGGGATATTTTCTTAATCATAAATTGCTGCACCACAAATATATACTGGGTCTGATCTTCTGGTTGTTAGCATTCTTCTCTTAATAATAAAAATAATTACCATTTATTGAACATGTATTATTGCCAAAGTACTATATTTTATTTTCATAGTGGGCCTTGTATGTCTTGTATGTAGGCTTTTTTTCTTTCTTTTTTTTTTTGTGTTGCTGCTGGGGACTCAACCCAGGGGCTTGAGCATGCTAGGCAAGCACTTTACATCCTTAGCCACAGATGTAGGGATAGGTTCTTTTCCATTTTACAGTTGATGCTACCACTACTCAAGAGAGGTCAGAAAGTAAGATATATTACTATTTGATCCTTTGTTTGCCTGTTAAATACTTTGAAGGGGTATTTAAACTTTTTTTTTTTTTTGGACAATAGTGGGGTTTGAACTCAGGGCCTCACGCTTACTAGGTATGAATCTTAACACGTGAGCCACTCTGCCAGCCCTTTTGTATCGGGTATTCTCAAACAGGGTCTGGAGAACTATTGGCCCGGGTTGGCTTCAAACCGCAATCCTCCTGATCTCTGCCTCCCACATATCTAGGATTCTAAGCATGAGCCACTGGTGCCGGGCTCAATTTTATATATCATTTGATTTCTTCCTTTTCAGTAAAAAATTTAAGAAGGGGAGCCAGTGAAATCATCATAAAAAATAACTTATTTTGCTCTTTTTATTTTTAGAATTTGTTGTCCTCGTTATGGAGAAAGAAGACAAACAGAAAGTGATTGGGGAAAACGCTGTGTGGACAAGTTTGATATTATTGGGATTATTGGAGAGGGAACCTATGGCCAAGTATATAAAGCCAAGGACAAAGACACAGGTACATGTTGCCATGAACTTTTTTTTTTGGCAATACTGCAGTTTGAATTCAGAGCCTTATATTTGCTAGGCAAGGGCTCTATCACCTGAGCCATGCCCCTGTCTATTGCCACAAAATTTTTTATGTCAGAAGGTTAACAGTTTATCAATGCTGATGTCTTCAGTAGACTTAGTAAAAGTAAATCTTGTGTTCTAATTGTTAAAGTTATTAAATAGACTAAAAAGTTCCAAAAGAATAGTACTCATCCCCTAGTGTCTATTGGAGATTGGTTCCAGGACACTATTGGCAAATGCTCAAGCTCCTTCATAAAATGATGATGTATTCCCATATAACCTACACATACTCCTATATATCATCTCTGGAATACTTGTAGTACCTAAATAATACAAGGTAAATTCTATGTAAATAGTTGTCATAGAGACAACTGCACATGTTCAGTATAGATACAATACCCCCTACCCATCAATTTTTTTTTTTTTCTTTTGGCAGCCCTGGGGTTTGAACTCAGGGCCTCATGCTTGCTAGTCTGGTGCTCTTAAGACTTGAGCCACTCCACCAGCCCCCTCAAATATATTTAATCCATAGATAGTTGGAACTGTGAATATAAAGGGATGACTGGTTTTTTTTGTTGTTGTTATTTTTTAATGGTGATGTTGGGGTTTGAACTCAGGTTCTTGCACTTGCTAAGCAGGTACTCTACCACTTGAGCCACTCTGCCAGCCCTGGCACGACTATATATTATTATTATTATTATATTAAAACCCTTCTCTTGGGCCAGGGATGTTACGAAGTAGTAGAGCACTTGCCTAGACTCTATAAGTCTCTGTGTTCAATCTCGAATACCACAAGGGAAGGAAAAAAAATCCTTTATTTTCCATTCTGGCTATTTTTTGTTTGTTTGTTTGGTTTGGCTTTTTGTTTTTGTGGTGCTAGGGATCAGACCCAGGGCCCCATGCTTGTAAAGCATGTTACCACCTAGTTTTCAATCACAGCCTTTTTCTTGTCCATTCCAAACATTTTATAGCTTGCCACAAATTTTAAGATGATAAAAATAAAACTTGTACCTTGTTATTGTTAGGAAAGGGGAAAAAGTCTGCCTTACAGAGCAAGGGTCAGTGGCTGAAAAATGCTATTTGGAAATAATAATGACTTGAATTTGTTTTGGCAGGAGAATTAGTAGCTCTGAAGAAGGTGAGACTGGACAATGAGAAAGAGGGCTTCCCAATTACAGCAATTCGTGAGATCAAAATCCTTCGTCAGTTAATCCATCGGAGTGTTGTTAATATGAAGGAAATTGTCACAGATAAACAAGATGCACTGGATTTCAAGAAAGACAAAGGTACTGGCAAGCAGTTACATTTCTGTAGGATAGATTGGTACCATTTTATTTTCCTTTCTAAGTTGTTGCCTGAGTGAATTTTTTTAAATAGGTTGTGCTAAAGTCTAGCTTCTAATCCAAACCAGATGTTGGCAGATGCAGCTGGGAGTAGTGGTAAATTCCTGTAATCCCAAACCTCAGGAGGCTGAGGCAGGAGAATTGAGTGCTCAAGGCCAACCTGGGCTATAAAGTGAGTTTGAGGCCAACCTAGGCCTCCCTTTATCAAAAAGCCAAAATGTGTCCCTGTGTCAAAAGCCAAAATCAAAACAAAAATGTTGGTATATTGCTTTGGTACTAAACAGTGCTTACTTTCTAAAATGTTCATTCTTGACAAATGAATACTTAATACTTTTAAAGTCATTGTTAATTAGTAAGTATGCATTAAGTAAGGTCTGATATAACTCCTAATAAAGCAGGCAGATAAACAATATAATTAAACCAGCTATTCCTTACGTTTTTTTGGTTTGTTTTTGTTTATTTTTTTTTCATGGTGCTGGAGATCTATCCCAGTGCCTTATGCATGCTAAGCACATGCTCTATCACTAAGCTAAATCCACAGGCCTCCTCCACTGCATCCCAGTTTTTGAGTTTTTTTTTTTTTTAGAAGTACTGGGAGCTCAGAACTTTGCAATTATTAGCCAGACATTTTGCCACTTGGCTGGAAGTGTTGCTCAAGTGGTAGGGCAGCTACCTAGCAAGGATGAGGCCCTGAGTTCAAACCCCAGTATCACCCCCCCCAAAAAAAAACCCAAAATGTTAATGTGTAGTGGCTCAAGTCCATAATACTAGGTACTTGAGAGGTGGAGATCAGGAGACCAGCCAGACAAAAAGTTCATGAGACCCCAACTCAATCAATGACTGTATGCTGTGGTGCTTGCCTGTCATCCCCAGCTACACAGAGAAGCACATTCAGGAGGATTGTGATTAAGACTGGCCAGGAATACAGCAAGACCCTATCTCAAAAATAACCAAAGCAAAAAGGACTGGTGGAGTGGCTCAAGTGATAGAGGGCCTGGTTAGTTAAGCATGAGGCCCTGAATTCAACACCTTGTTCTACCCAAAAAATAATGATAGTTATTTACTTCCATTTTTACATTATGTCTTTTGGGTTTGAACTCAGGGCCTCACATTTGCTAGGCAGGTGTTCTACCACTTGAGCCACTTTTGCCAGTGTGTTGGGCATTTTTGACATAGGTCTCAAGAACTGTTTGCCTGGACTCTTTTGGAACTGTGATCCTCCTGATCTCTGCCTCCTGAGTAGCTAGGATTATAGGTGTGAGCCACCAGCGCCAGGCAATGCAGTTATTCCTAAAAGGTATTTTCATTAGGTCACACAGTATGTTGATTTCCTGGAGTTGCAACTTTGGACTCAGAGAGAAAATTATTGGTTGTTCCCATACTTATGCTGAAGTTATACTTTTCCTTTTAACTTCTTTTTCATATAGGGTTTCATGATTTTGCCCAGGCTAGCCTCAGATTGAGATCTTCCCTCCTGAGTAGCTAGGATTACAAGCATGAACCACCTCATTTAGCTTGTTTTTGAGATAAGGTCTCTGCTAACTTTTTTACCCAGGTTGATATTAAACTACAACCCTCTTGTCTCCACCTCCCACATTGTTATTTTTCTTAATACAAATCTGAAGAAGCTTTAGAGATGGACAGTTGAATATAGAGCTTTGGGTCAAGTTGAAGAAATGTGAATATAGTTTGGAATGTTAAAAGATGATTGAAGTACATAAATCTAGGAAGATAACGGATGAAGGTTAGCTCAGGCTACATAGCAAGTTCTAGGCCAGCATGGGCTATGTAGATAATAGACCCTGCCTTGAAAAGAAAGAAAAAAATCCCCAAAACAAATAAAATATGTGATTATGGAAAAGTTGATTAAGAAAAAGTTGAAAATACAGAATATATTACATTGAAATATTTATTTTAACATAATTAAGATCCAAGAATATGTAGTGTTAATATAACATTATAAGCAATTTCTCATTATTAAAATACCTTTGAGCTGGGAAGGTAGCTTCAGTGGTAGAGCCCCTGCCTAATGAGCATGAGGCTCTGAGTTCAAACCTCAGTAATATAAAAAAAGTCTTGATGGCATGAAGATATATGAAACCAAATTTACTTCTCCCCCAACCCCAATCCCTGTTGATCATTTAGTTGCCAATTTTTAAAAGCCTGTAATGCCAGCTACTGAGAAGGCTGAGGGAGGATGATTGCTTGAACCCAGGAATTCAAGACCAGCCTGGGCAATACAGAAAACCCCCCAATACTCAGTCTCTCTTAAAAAACACACACATATATATATAAAATAGCATTTTCTTTTTGGGTGGTGGGGGACAGGTTTTACTATGTTGGCCTGAAACTCTCAATCCTCCTGCCTTAGCCTCCCAAGTAGCTGGGATTACAGGCATTTACCACCGTGCTTGGCAGTAGCAGCACTTGAGCACTTTGTACATAAGTCTTTACACTATGATTTACTTGTTTATTTAGTTACTTATTTTGTTAGTTAGTTAGGTGCTGGGGATTGAACCCAGGGCCACATATGAGGTAAAATGTACTCTACCTCTGAGCTATACCCCTGGCCTGATTTATGTTCTTAATATAGCTTCTTAGACATAGAATTACTTAGTCACAGGGGTTCATAGTTAATGTTAGATTGATTTTTAAAAATATAGTAAGACTTTAAGTCCCATAATATTGCTCATTTCAATGTATCCTCTCCAACTTTGAGCAGTCATGCACTATATAACAATGTTTTGGTCAGTAATGGACCACATACACAGAAGTATATGCCATCTAGCCTAGGAGTATAATAGGGTATCCCATCTGTGTTTGTGTAAGTCCACTCTATGATGGTCACACAAAAGTGGAATTGTCTGCATTTCTCAGAATGCACTCCCATTCTGAGTCACGGGGACACATCATTATACACCCTTTTTAAAATTATTATCTAGTAGGACTGGGGATGTCGCTCAGTGATACAGCATTTTCCTAGCATGCCCAAGGCCTTGGGTTTGTTCCCACCAAAAAAAAATTGTCATCCCAACTTCACACTTGCTAAGCAGCTAATCTACTAATAGAACCACACTCTCAGCCCTTTGTTTTTTTGCTAGGGTTGGGGTGGCTACTGGGGTTGAACTCAGGGCCTTGTGCTTGCAAGTTGCTAGGCAGGCACTGTACCACTTGAGCCATGCTGCCAGCCCTTTTTGTACTGATTATTTTCAAGGTAGGGTTTTGCTTTGTGCTGGCTGGCCTAGGCCGTGATCCTTCTATTAATGTTTCTCCAGCTAGCTGGGGATGACAGGTACATGCCACTGTGCCCAGCCATTGGTTGAGATGCAGTCTCATGAACTTTTTGGCTGTGCTGAACTCAAACCATGATCCTCCCAATCTCTACCTCCCAAGTAACTAGGATTATAGGCTTGAGCCACAGCCCAGGCCTGCTTTAGTTATTTTTCAGGTAGGCTCTCAGGTTTTTGTGCAGCCTCAGACCACAATCCTCTTACATAAGGCCTTCTGCATAGCTGGGATCATAGGTGTGCACCACTATGCCTGGCTTATTGATTGAGATGGGGTTCTCACTAACTTTTTGTCTGGGGTGACCTTGAACTGTGATCCTCCTGATTTCTGTCCCTGAGTAGTTGGAATTATAGGCATGAGCCACTGGGCCAGACCTGATTTTAGTGTTGTTGTTTTTTTTTTAACTATGTTGTATGAGGTGTTAGTAAAATCTCTCAAAGATGTTCCTTTAATGCAATGTGATCATAAACCTCTTTGAATGTTAGGAAAGCTGTGAACTCAGTTGTCAAAAAAATGCACATTTAAAATGTCGCATACTATTTCAGAAAGTTCAAAGAGTACTTGATGCCAGTCCCCTAGATTGAGAATCCCTGCATTGGGCTCAGAATGTAACTCAGTGACAGAGGTCTTGCCTAGCATGCTCAAGACTTTGGGTTCCATCCCCAGCCCATTGTGGGTGTGGTGGTAAATACCTGTAATCCCAGCGTTCACACTTGGTAGGGTAAGGCAGGAGGATTTCAAGTTCAAGCCTAGCCTGGGCTACATAACAAGTTCTAGGCCATGAGCTACAAGGTCAATACCCTGTGTTCAGGTTTTTAAAAAGGTGGGAAGGGGGAGGAGCTGGTGGAGTGGCTCAAGTAATAGACTGCCTGCCTAGCAAGTATGGGCCCTGAGTTCAAACTCCTGTATTGCCAAAAAAAAAAAAAAAAGAATTATTGCTTTTATGCTACTAATAAATAAAAATTTAAAATGTGTGTTGAGATTTTTTTTTTTCTTTTTGAGCCACTCTGCCAGCCCAAAAATTTAAACTGGATAGATCATCTTACTAGGTCTAGTAGTTTTCTTTTGATTGGGTAGAGGGAGGGGAGTTGGAGAACTGGCTCTTGCTATGTAGCCTAGGCTTGTCTCAACCTTGAGATCCTCCTTCCTCAGCCTTCTGAGTGCTGGGATTACAGGTGTTCTGGCTTAGGTCTAGCATATTTTATGTTACAGTATTTGCCTCTATCATGTACCTGAGAAAAGATAGTGTAGATTTTGAATTGTTTATAGCTAGTCTGTTTGTATACTTTTCACTCCTTTTATCCACTTCTGAATTTAGGAGATTGAATTAGATAATTCACCTTTAAATTTTTAAATAACTTTGAATTTCATTAATAATTTGTGCCACATATGCTATCCCTGGCATATTATGGGAGTCCTGTTAACTAAGGTAAAGACCTTTACAAAAGTTGTCCTAGACAATATGATTTTCTTACAAATAAAACTTTATTTACAACCACAGGCAGCAGACTGGATTTGACTCAGGGTCTATAATTTGCTAACTAAGTTAGCAAAGTTAGATCATAAAAAGTTTAGTAATACAACCTGATCATGCATTTGTCCCCTCAAAAGGTAAGTAGTTCAAATTGTGCTGGACTAAGAATCAAAAGGTATAATTCAAATAGTAATTCTGTTACTTGTTTTTAGAAATGGCAAGTTACTCAGTTTGTCCTAGTTTCAGTTTCATCTATAGAACTGAGGGATTGTTCCAGAGACCCTATGGTTAACTCCAAAATTTTATTAAAATTTGAGGTGTTATTATTTCAGCATTCTTTTTTTTATTTTCAATTTTTCATGTTATATAGGTGCCTTTTACCTTGTATTTGAGTATATGGACCATGACTTAATGGGACTGCTAGAATCTGGTTTGGTGCACTTTTCTGAGGACCATATCAAGTCATTCATGAAACAGCTAATGGAAGGATTGGATTACTGTCACAAAAAGAATTTCCTGCATCGGGATATTAAGTGCTCTAACATTTTGCTGAACAACAGGTAACATAGTAGCCAAATAAGGTTAAGCACTTTCTCCCTCTCCTCTTAGTTTCAGGTAGTTAATTGGGATAAATAGACTCAATGGTGTAGTTTTTTTCATTACTTGCATCTGATGTTTATGCCTTAGGAACAACTTTTCTTTTTTTTTTTTTTTTTTTTGCGGTACTTCGGTTTAAACTCAGGGCCTTCACCTTGAGCCATTCCACCAGCCCTATTTTGTGAAGGGTTTTTCAAGATATGGTCTTGTGGAACTATTTGCCCGGTCTGGCTTCGAACCATAATCCTCCTGATCTCTGCCTCCTAAGTAGCTAGGATTATAGGCGTGAGCTACCGGCACCCAGCAAGTAACAACTTAATGATAATGGTACTCTGATAGCAGATACTCCAGACTCAGTGTTGGTAAGGAATTAACAGAAGTAGGATTATAAAGACTTTTTAATTTCAGGCATTCTAAAGAATCACTCAATCCTACAGGAATAATCAGAGAACTCTTGTCATAGTAAGTAGTGTTGTGACTCTAAGCAAGTTCAAATATTCATTGGATTCTTACTGATAATTCCATTGTTTAGTTGGGAAGAAAAGGCTTTCTTCTTTAGCTACCCTTGAGCCTTTCTCAATTACTGCCTTTCAGAGTAAACACAGATGTATTTGGTGATTGGCTTTTCTGTGCAATACTTACCCTCAGGTTTTATAGTGTAAACAATCAGGAGTCTGATGATGGAATGTGTATTAATTCTTCAGAAGGTTTTATTATCTGCTTTCTTCCTTCTGATAATTTACCTATCCTTCATTGCTGATATCAGATACATTATGCACACTGGCCTTTGTAACTATTCCCTACCTGATGTTGGATAAAGAACAAATCTGTTACCACTGAAATCAGGTATTTGGTTCTTTTGGTAATTATTTACATCTTTGTCTGAATTATTCATTGTTCTTTTTGCTTCTTTATCGAAAATATTGTCTAGGTAGGAATATAGACTGATTGTAATGCATTTCCTGTGTTTATGGAGTAGAATAACCATTTAGTTGGTGTTAACTGGGATTGTCCTGGTTTTAGCATTAAAATAAGTCCCATATGAGGTGGTTGATCACTGTGGGGCTCAGAATTTAGTACAGGAACTAAACAAAAAATTGCTCGATTCATTATTTATTAAGTCCATTTTCTGCCCTTGCATTTGGGAGCACCTGGAAAGATACAGCCTTGAGGAATGAATAGGGATTTATCAGAAAGATTGACAATGGGGATCGAATTTCTAAACAGAAGCACCTAAACATAAAAACAACATACTGTGTCTGGAAAACTGTATATAGGTCAGTATTGCTAGAGTAACAGGAGTAAAACACATGATAGCAAGAGATGAAGCGGAATGGTTACTGAAAGCCAATTTAAGGATTTTGTATACCCTACTATGAAGCTTAACCTTTATCTGTAGTTGAAAAGGGGCCATTGAAAGATTCTGGTTTTTTTTTTTTTTATATTATGTGCGTAATGCATTATTTTAAATTGTACTTAAATAACTTAAGAGGCAAAACATGATGCTAAAAGACTAGTGTTTAAGCCATATAAAGTGGCATAACACCTATAATCCCAGCTACTCTATTAGGAGTTGAAGCCAACCTGGGCAACATAGTGAGACCCAGTCTCAAAAAAAAAAAAATTTAGTCCTGTCTGTTGTTGTCTTTGTGACTCACAATTCGTTTTACAGTTGAAGTTTGGTCACTCTACACTCTGCATGGTAAATAGTTGATCAAAACGTGAATGAGGCAGACAGGTGTGGTGGTGCACACCTGAAATCCCATCTACTTGGGAGGTGGAGTCAGGAGGATCTTGAGTTCCAGGCCAGCCTGGACAAAAGTTAGTGTCACAAAAATAAAATACAAAACAAAAGAGTTTGGGGTGTAGCTCAAGTGGCAGAGTACTTGCTTAGCATGTTTGAGGCCCGTGTGTGTGTGTTTGTGTGTGTGTGTGTGTGTGTGTGTGTGTGTGTGTACACGTGCACACACACTCAAGCATGAGGGGGGCGAGGGGATGGACGATACATGACAACAGGATGGAGAATGGGGACACAACACTTAGTGAGGACTAGAGGTGTGACATAATGGTAGAGTGCTTGCCTAACATTTATGAGGCCCTGGGTTTGATTTCCACATTATTTTTTTATTTTTATTAAAAAAATAATAGTAATAATTTACTGTTGATGGCTATCACCTTGCAGCTTTTTGGCCTGTAGTATTAATACACTTTTTCCTATTCACTTTGCTCCTTCATGGAAAAATATCTCAGAGCAAGGAATAATTGCAGTTTTGTTTGATATCCTTTCTGGTGAGACCCTCTTCCAGTCCAGTTTCCCATAGTCTAGACACAGATGAGGTTCCAGACTAAATTGAACTCCTTCTTCAGGTTGATAAGCAGGAACTAGCTTGATCCATCTGACCTCTCACTTTGTTCTGTCTGGTCAGTTGCCTCTGTGTGAAATGGAACAAAGAAAATAGTAAAGGATTGTCAGTAGGGGAAGAAAGAAAACAGTTTGACAAGATAAACGAATGTAAATGAGGCCAAATCTTTAGATAGAGGAGAGACCTACTCTTTTGTTTTAGAAGGGGCACTAATGGTCATATAGACTAGAGGCAGGAAGACCTATTAAGAACACTGTAGGGGGGACTGGGGACATAGCTCAGTGGTAAAGTGCTTGCTCTGGTATATGTGAGACCCTGGGTTCAATTGCCAGCACTGAAAAAAATAAAATCAGTGCTTGAACTAACCCAGGCCTTGCTAAATAGGAATGGTGGACAGGATGGACTTAGTAGATGAGTAGACTTTGGTGAGTGACTGAATGCTACAGAATGAATAAGAATAAGATAAACTTGGCCTGGCGGAGTAGCTCAAAAAGCGCCTGCCTGCCTAGCAAACATGAGGCTCTTGAGTTCAAACCCCAGTATTGCCCAAAAAAAGATAATTCACAAATTTATGACTTGAGAAACTAGCTAGATGGGTGGCAAACATCAATTATTTTTAAAGAGTACAGAAGAACAGGGTGGGTAGGGTGAAAAGTGAATCTCATTTGGATTCTGTTGTGTATGCAGGGTAATAGTATCTACTAGGCATATGGTCATGTGGGAACACCAAACTACCAATGTATATTTGGAAGCTAAAAAGCGTAGAAAAGATGTCGGAAGTAGAACTCTGAGAGATAGGGAAAAAAATAAAGAATGTGCTCTTCATGCAGTATAATGAACCATAAGAAGGGAGTGATCTTAAATGTCAAGTGATGGCAGACAAATTATAACACTTAAGAAAGAGAGTGTGCCAATTAAAATGTCAGAGGTGACATTCCTGTAGGATGAGTGCTAAGAGAATGTGTAGTACAATTAATGGAAGGAAATAGGTGTGTCTTTAATTTTTTTTAATTAATACTTTTTTATGGTTCTGGAAAATGATTTCAGGGTATTGTATATATGCAAGCACTCTACCACAGAGCTACATTCCTAGCCCCCTAATTTTTTATTTGAAGAATGGTGAAGATTTGAACATTTAAGTGCTAAGGGGAAAGGAAGAGTTGAAGATTCAGGAAAGAACCAAAATAATTTTAGAGGAGCAAAGTTCTAGAGGAGATAGGATCATGGCCACAATTGAAGGGGTTGATTATCCTTGGATAAGCAAAGAGGTTAACATACGTTTGCAGTAAATAAAGGGAAAGAGGAAAGTAAAGTTGTAAATGCAAATAAATTTATAGGTAAAAGGTGAAATAACAGGAGCCCTCACTTGACGACTTGTTTTTAGCAGTACTGGAATTTAAACTCAAGCCTTTGCACTTGCAGGGCAAGTGCTGTACTACTTGAGCCATGCCTCCAGCCTTGAATTTTCTTTTTCCACTGAAGGTCATTTGTTGAGTGTGAGAGGATAGGGAATGGATTCGAGAGTTGTTCTTTTCCAGGGGGCTGGTGCTGTGCCAGGCACCTGATAACTCAGATCAGGAAAAAAAAAAAAAAAAAAGAGATAGGAGAGAGAAGAGGAGAATGCCAAAGGTTTTTGTTTTTCTGGTGTTTGAATTCAGAGTCTTGTACTTGCTAAGGCAAGTACTCTACCGCTTGAGCCACAGTCCCAGCCCTAAGAACACCAAACGTTTATAATGGTAGCCAAGCAGAATAGGTTTCTGACTAAAGAGAAATAAAAGGACTAATCAGCAGCATTCAGGACTTAACTGAGAGAAGAAACTATACATTTTGGAGTAGCACTAAAAAGTGATAATGCTTGTATGACTTTTGTTCCTTAAGATTGTGTTCAATTCACTAGGCAGAGCAGAAAAGGCAAATTTTCTATTGATTCAAAATTAAGAATTTGTGGCTTGGTGCCAGTGGCTCATGCCTGTAATCCTAGCTACACAGGAGATGAAGATCAGGAGGACTGCGGTTCGAAGCCAGCCCAGGCAAATAGTTCTCGAGACCCTATCTCAAAAAAACTTATCACAAAAAAGGGCTGGTGGAGTGGCTCAAGGTGTAGGCCCTGAGTTCAAGCCCAGTATTGCCAAAAAAAGGAGTTTGTGAATTAGATCTATCAAAAGAATATATGTGAAGTGAATGATAAAGACAGTAGTTTGAGTAATTGATGAATGGGTCCAGCCTGGTTAGGGAAGGAAATACAGTGTGAGTGATGGATAAATTAAGAGGAAGTACAGCATCAAGCACTAGAGGGTCTTGTCAAAAGGCAATTTAAAACCATGGTTCAAGCCAGCATTGGTGGCTCACGGTTTAGGCCCTGAGTTCAAGCCCCAGTGCCACATTAAAAAAAAAACAAACATGGTTTAGAAGGAATTCCCTGCATATCCCTATATATATTTTGCTCCTGTCATTTAGGATGACAAACAACTTGATAGTATTTCTGTTCTCTCTTACTTTACCAAAGATTATTACCACACTTATTTCACCATGATAGCTCAGTTGGAAGGAAAGAGTGAAAGTAAAAGTACTACCAGGATATTTGTTCTGTGACAGACTAATTATTTAAGAATGGGTGTGTGGCTCAAGTGGTAGAGTACTCACCTAGCAGGTTCAAGGCCCTAGGTTCAATCCCCAGCACCACACAGACAGACAAACGCATACATGGCACAAAATCATTTACTTGATCCAGGCATGGTGGTACATGCTTATAAGCACTTAAAAGGCTGAGGCAGGATTTTGAGTTGAAGGAGGCCAGCTTGGACTATATAGAAAACTCTGTCTTTAAAAAAAAAAACCAGGCTCATGCCTGTAATCCTACCTACTAGGGAGGGGTTGCAGTTAGAGGCCATCCTGAGCTAATAGTTCACAAGACCCCATCTCCATAGTAACCAGAGTAAAATGGACTGGAAGTGTTTCAAGTGGTGGAGCACCTGCTTTACAAGCCGAAGCCCTGTGTTCAAACCCCAGTTCCACCAAAAAAAAAACACCAAATAAATTATTCATTTAGTGCCTAGTATGAGCCAAGCAGGAAACATGCTAGGTGCTGGTGATACTTAGGTCTAGCTTAGTTTCTGTTAACTTTCAGTCCTACTGTATGCCTTGAGTCTTGCATCATCTCAGGCCTCAGAATAATAAGCATGTCAAGAAATTTGAGGATGTGAGGGTGATCTGGCTGCGACATCTGTCACCCCATTGATTGCCAGGGTTGACTCAGCTGATCTGGCTGGCTAGGCGGGTGTCCCCTTCCTCCCTCACTGTTCCATGTGCATCCCTCCCGAAGCTGCGCCCTGGGTCGAAGAGGATGACCATCCCCAATAGAGGAGGACCGTTCTTCGGTCAAGGGTATATGAGTAGCTGCGCTCCCCTGCTAGAACCTCCAAACAAGCTCTCAAGGTCCATTTGTAGGAGAACGTAGGGTAGTCAAGCTTCCAAGACTCCAGACACATCCAAATGAGGCGCTGCACGTGGCAGTCTGCCTTTCTTCAAAAAAAGAAAAAAAGAAAAAGAAAATTGAGGAACCCTTTGTCTCACTATAAGTTAACTATTCTTTTTTCTTCTCAGGATTTGCTTAAAAATGTAATGATATTTGGGGCAAGTAGATAAAAGGTACATAATTTTTACTAAGAATGATAGGATTGACTTAATGTAAAATTTTGTTGTGGTAGATATTTTAATATTTGATCTCATTGCTCATACTTTGAGGAATACCTCCTAGTATAGCGTCTTTTCTCTTATTTTATCATTTTTCTGCCTGATCTGAGCTGAGATACCACCACCCCCCTGCAAAAAAGAGTTGGCATTTCATTCCCCAACAGGTAGTAAGGCTATAGATGTGATTAAAATAGGTTACATGAATTTAGGCAAATATAATTAATCCCGAAGTTAATAAATGGCTTTTAAATCATTTCTCAACATTTGTGTTGTAGTTTCCTAAAATATTCCTTGACATCCCTGTCAAAGAGAATACTGAGGACTGGGGATATTACTCAGTGGTAGAGTGCTTGCTTAGCATCCACAAGCCCTGGACTGAGTTCTCAGCACTATTTTTTTGAAAAAAAAAGTGCCCAGCAGAGTGAAAGGTAGCTGTGATCCTTTTAAAGGAATGATACCCAAAGTATAGTTCTCAGACCAACTGTATTGGCATCATACATGGGCTTGTTAGAAATGCAAGTTCAGGGCTGGAGGTGTTAGTATACTAGCCTACCATGAATCAGGCCCTGGATTCAAGCAGCTGGGGGGAAGGGAATATTATTCATGAGCTATGACCTACTGAGTCATCATCTTTGAGAATGGGATCCAGAAAAGTGTTTCAACAAGCTCTCCAAGTCAAAGTTTGAGACATGCTCCCACCCCTCTGGGGTATAGTATCTTTGTGGCATAGGAGGTAATGGCAGTATATTAGTAGAAAGGACCGCCATTTGTTATAAAAAGAGTTTGTCAGGTCACAGATGTAATCCCTGTTTGAAAAAGTTCTGTTACAGTATTATAGTTTACTTCTTAAATTATAAGAAAACTGAGATTGTAATAAGAGTTAATTAATACATATACAGTGGACATTTTACCATATTTGCTTCTTATTTTTCTGCTTGGATATTTGTTTTTGATGGTACTGAAGTTTGAACTTAGGGCTTTGCAGTTGCTAGGCAGACACTCTACCACCTGAGCCATGCCTCCAACCTGTTTTGCTCTGGTTATTTTGTTCATAGGGTCTCACTTTTTGCCCAGGTTGGCCTGGACCGTGATCCTTCTCTATTTTGTGCTTCCCATTGTAGCTTGAATAATAGGCATGTGCCACCATGCCCAGCTCTTTTCCATTGAGATGGGGTCTTCACAAACTTTTTTTTTAATTCAGGCAGGCCTAGAACTATGATCCTCTATACCTCAGCCTCCCAAATAGCTAGGATTACAGGTATGAACCCCTGGCACTCAGCTTCTCCTTGAGTATTTTAAAAGTAAATTACAGACATCATTATATTTGATTCTAAATACTCTGACAAAATTATTTCCTAGCATCTTCTAAATCCAGTACATATTTTATATTTTTTTGCTTATCTCAAAAAATGTGTTTTGTAGCTTAGTTTGTTCAAGCCAGAATCAGTCAAGGATTATGAATTAAATTAAATTGCTCTTAATCTAGAACAGTCCATTCTTTTTTTCTCATTAGTATTTAATCTAGCAGGTTCTAGCATAGTTGTCTTCTAAAAAAATAAAGTAAGTATTTAGAGCCAGGCATGGGGCACATGCATGTAGTCCCAGCTCTTCAGAGGCTAAGGTAAGAGGATTGCTTGAGTCCATGAATGGGAGACCAGCCTAGGTAACATATCCAGAGCCCACCTCAAAAAAAAAAAAAAAAAAGCAAAAGCCTGGGGCATTGTAAACTTTAGTAGACAAAGAGGCTTCATTGGGGGAAGAGTGATCATTAATTTTAGAAATAAGAGATCAAATGTTAAAATTATTTTAGCTTGTTGATTGACACTTAACTTTCCATGTATAGGTTGGAGGCTGCTGCTATTACTTATAAAAATAATTTTTTTGTGTTGTTGTTGTTTGTTTTACAGTGGTCAAATCAAACTCGCAGATTTTGGACTTGCTCGTCTCTATAACTCTGAAGAAAGGTAAGGCATTTTTTTAAATTACATGTGGTACATGCATGGCTCAAATGATAAATGCCCTGAGTTCAAGTCCCATACCACCCCTCTTCCCCTCTCTCCAAAAAAAAAAAAAAAAAAGATTTAAAGTTACTGATGAGAAGGATCACTTAAGCCCAAAGATGCAAGGCCAAGCCTAGGTAACATAGTGAGGCCCTATCTCAAAAAATAAAGATAGCAAAATCTTTTTTTTTTTTTTTTTTTAATTCTCTGATATTCTAGTATTCTGCAAATTCAAGAACTGTTGGAGTTCCCTAATTATCTGAATGTATTACCACCTAGATTTTAGACAGTAAATTCTAAATTCTATATAATTTTTGGTGGTACTAGTGTTTGAACTCAGTGAAGCCACTCCACCAGCCCTTTTTTGTGAAGGTTTTTTTTCAAGATAGGGTCTCGTGAACAATTTGCAGGAGATTGGCTTTGAACCGAGATCCTCCTGATCTCTGCCTCCTGAGTAGCTAGGATTATAGGCGTGAGCCACTAGAGCCCTGCTCAATCTCATCTTTAATTGGCAGCTGTTTCTAGTTGCATTTAGTTATGTATTTTCATCAAAAGGCATTGTGAATTTACATCATGATGGTTTTACATTTCAGTCGCCCTTATACAAACAAAGTCATTACTCTGTGGTACCGACCTCCAGAGCTGCTGCTGGGAGAGGAGCGTTATACACCAGCCATAGATGTTTGGAGCTGTGGGTAAGGCTCTCTTAACCTTTTCTTTTGTCTGTAACTTACATACTGTTAACATGTACTGTTTTCTCTCTACATTGGCTTTTTGCAGTTCTTCTTAATTTCAAAAGAATGAATAAACTTTCTGTTCTCATTTCTTAACATCAGAGACATGTTTTTTAAAAAAATACTTCAGTTGTCTTTTTTTTTCAATCTTTGTTTAAATTAGGATCCAAATGATAAATTCAAGTAAGTTCTGCTGCAGTTGATTATCTTATCTTTTTTTGTTTGTTTGTTTGTTTTGTTTTTCATATTAGGGATTAAACCCAGGAGGGTGTCAGTATACTAGGCAAGCACTCTACCACTGAGCTAAACATCCCAAGCCTTTTTTTACTTTTCATTCGGAACAAAAAAAAATTAACTTAGCAACAGGGGCTTACTAAATTTCCTAGGTTGGCCTCAAACTTTTTTCATTTCTTCTGCCTCAGCCTTCCAAGTAGCTGGAATTGCCAATATGCACTGCCACACCCAGCTTATCTTAAGTCTTTTAACTGGACATCCCCCTTCCATCTCTCTTGGTTTGTTTTTTTCTTTCCTTAGAGTTTCCTTTATGGGAAGTTGGTAATTAGCTCTGTAAGTCTTACAATCTGAATTTTGCTGATTATATTCTTATTGGTTGGGCTTTTTTGTTGTTGTTTTAGCATGATCCTTTTTGTGTGTGTGTGTGTGTGTGTGTGTGTGTGTGTGAGACGGGGTGGGTGGGGGGAATTGTTTTGTGTTGCTGGAGATTGAACCCAGGGTCTGAAGCATTCAAGGCAAGTACTCAACCACTGAGTTACATCCCTTGCCCATTAGTATGGATCTTTATTCTTACTGTTTTTTGTAAATTATAGATGGACTCGGGGTTGATTCTCAACCATCCATGACCTTAAACTACTGTACCAGGTAGTTTTGAATACTTCTAACAGAAGTTATACAATCAATGATAAATCAGATCTGGACCTAGAGAGTAATAGAAATTATCTTTCCAGAGTACAAGTAGTAAATAAGTTCGTTATCTGTGGAGAACTTAAAAAAGTATAAAACAACCTACTAAAAATTAATAGCATTTTATCATGGCCTTATGGAGACAGTTCTAAATGGGGCCTGATAAAATATTTATCCCTCTTATGGCAGATTTACATATACACACCACTTACAAATATACAGTTGTCTCTTTTTGAGATGTTATCAATTATTGATGATCATTGCTCATGTCGCTTAATTCATTTGTGGGTTTTGTTGATGTTGTTTGTAATGGTCATATTTTCTGTATACCATTCTTTCCTAAAATATTTTATATAAAGATAACTTACCTATTTGGCTAACCTTAGGTATAAACCATATAAAAAGTGAGGAGAAAAGCTAATTCCTTCATTTTGTTTACCAGTTTTCAAAATAAGGAGGTGATTTCCCACTGTTTTCCAAAGAGGACCAGTGACATGTGACATGTTTTGGAGGGGAGTGTGTGTGTGTGTGTGTGTTGTGTGTGTGTTTCCTTGTTTGTTTTTTTGTTCTTTTGAAACAGAATTTCTGTGTAGCCCAGACTGACCTTGAACTCCTGATCCTCCTGCCTCAGCTTCTGGAGTGCTGGAATTATAAGCATGTACCACCATTTATTTGGCTTACTTTTTTAGTTTTATTATGAACTTACAGATTTAAACATTTGATGTTTTTTAATCCATTGTGGCTATCCTTATTCAAACTAATCTTTGGCTAGTGGGAGCTTAGGTTATTTCTTGAGTGCTCTTGATATAGTCATAGTAATCTTTAATAGCTTTCCTTATTTTCTGGTTCCAGACTTACCCTGTTCATTTCTTGCTCAGACCTGGAATCAGCCATTTCTCTAAGAAGTCTTAATTCCTTTTAGCTCCTTTTATCTGATAATAATATTTAGTTTGTTTGTTAGGGGCATAGATACTTTTAAAATGGGCCAGGTTTGTTAGTTGTTCTTATGTGATGTGACACTTTGTCCTTGACCTCCATGCTTTATGACTCTGACCTACATACTTCCTAACAGAGTATGTCACCGTTCTCATTCCTTCCCTTCCTCTTTTATCAGTATTTTTACTTCAAAATTCAACCAGGCAGTTAAAAAAAAAGAAAAAAGAAAAATTTCTATGGTAGCCTACCCAAGTCAAATGAAGCTTTAGTTTACTGACTCAGGCTGGGTGTGTTTGTGTTCTAGACTATTTGCTTTAACAGTATTAACATTTAAATTGTCACAACTAGGCTCTAAAGTTAACACCCAGTTAAGATGCATGGGGGAAGTTTATAGCTATTGGTACTATTTTTTCAGTCTGTGTAACTTGCCACCTCAGTGCAGTAGCAAAGTATTGATTACATAATGAAGATGTCTTCCTTACCAAAGGACTGGAAACTGAAATAAAACAACACAAAACAGAACTGGCCATGTAGCACACACCCAGCACTCTGGAGGGAGATTACAGCAGAAGGATTGTGAGTTTGAGGCCACTAGGCTACATAATAAGATACTGTCTTTAAAAAAAGAGAGAGAGAGAGAAACACAATTAGAAAGTGAAACTATAAAAAATTAGGATTTCTTTAAAGCCCAGTGACTTTTAATGAATTTAGATTTTATCTGACTTGATGGGAACTTCTCTGAAGCTCTGAAGATGTTTGTATCAGAATGGTCTTTACAGATAATTAGTGGAGCCCTTCAGTGAGCAAATGAGGGAAGAAACAAAAAAGACTAGTAAAACAAATACACTTGAAGTCTGAAAACCTTGCTCTTTTTTGTAGTTTTCCTTTTTACCTGTCTCTTATTTTACCAGTTATAACAAAACTGTATTTTAGAACTTGATTTGGCAGTTAATATCGGAAACAGGATTAAATTTTACTTTTTTAAGACAGGCACTCTTACAGCTTGAGCCACTTTACCAGCCCCATCTTTGACTAAGATTTTAGAGAATATTAGAAATAAAAATTGTTAGGCTGGAGGCATGGCTCAAGCAGTAGGGGCCTGACTAGTAAGCACAAAGCCCTGAGTTCAAACTCTGGTACCACAAAAAAAAAGAAAAATTTGTCTTTTGTCATTTGAGATTAATAAATACTAATAGAAAGGTATTAGGTTTTTTTGCTTCTTCAAATTAAAGGGGGTTTGAAGTCAGGGCCTCACACATGATAGGGAGGAGCTATACCATTTGAATTATTCCTCTCATCCTTTTATCAGATTCACTACATTTTAAAAATTTTTTATTCAAATATACAATGAACACCATGTATTTCAAGTGTACAGTTTAATAATTTTTAACGTAACGTGTCCACCAGTGAAAATGTCACCATGACCAAGTTAATGATAATCCTTAAGTTTCCTTCTATCCTCTCTTCCACCTACCCCATCCCATTCCCAGGCAACCCTCTATTTTGTTTTCTGTCAGTATAATTCCCATGTCTAGAGTTGTATATAAATGGAGTCATATATATCTCCCCCCAGCTTTTTACTCAGCACAAGTTATTTTAAGATTCATTCATATTAAAGTCATTAATTTTTAACTGTTCACATTTGTTCATATGTAATATAAATCGTGTAATATGGATATATACACATAGAATAAAATGTGTGTTCATATATCTAAAACCCATATTTTTTCCAGGACTGTATAAAAGTAGTTATATATAACTTGCCACTTTCTCTTGTAATATGTAGTCCCTAATAACTATACATAACTATATATAATATATAACTATATTTTATATCTATATCTATGTCTGTATCTATATCTATATACATACAGTTATCAAATTCAGGAAATTTAACAGTGATACACTTTTTTTTTTTTTTTTTGGCAGTACCAGTATTTGAACTTACCTTCTTGCTTTCTAAGCAGGTACTCTACCTCTTGAGCCATTCTACAGTCCTTTTTTTGTTTTGGGTATTTTCAAGACAGGTCTTGAAAACTATTTGCCCCTGCTGGCTTTGAACCTTGATCCTCCTGATCTCTGCTTCCTGAGTATATAGGACACTTTTAATTTAATACAGTACTTTAGTCAATATTCCATATTCTAATTTTATCAATACCTTAGTATTCTTGGGAAACAGTATCCACCCCTCTCTCCAAAATTTAATTCAGAATCACATATTAAACTTAATTTGTCTTTTTTTTTTTTTGTGATACTGGAATTTTAACTGAGGATTTGAGCCATACTTCCATCACCACCCTCCCTTTCTTTTTAAATGGAATTTCCACTGCATTGCTCAGGCTGGTCTCTAAATCATTGCCTCAAGTGATCTTTCCCTCAACCTCCCAAGTAGCTAAGACTATAGACACATCCACTAGTTGTCCTTTTTGTAATCTTCTTTACTGTGGAGCAGTTATTTCTATGTCTTTCATAACATTTATAGTTTTGAAAAATAGACCAGCTACTATATAGATTCTTCAGGTTATACATTTTTTTGCTAGAATATTTCATAAGCAGCATTGTGTTCCTCATAGGTATCATATTTGTAACTTTACTTTGTTTTCCCTTTAGTGATGATATTAATTTTGGTCATTTTGTTGATGTGTTGTTTTTCCCCCACACACAAAAAAGTTACTAGTTTTCTTCGTGTAGTTAATGAGTAAGTTGCTTTGAGATGGTAAATATGTTCATAGTTTTGAAAACTCATTTCAAAATTCCAAAGGTATTTAAACAATTTATCTGAAGTTCTTTTGAAACTGTTCTTGGCTAATCACAAATAAATTGTTTTGTGAATATAATACCAAGAGGTCTATGGTACAGTACATCTGCTACAGAACAATTAATGACAGAAACTGATACCCCTTTATAGAAACTGCTGAGCATCTTTATAAAATTCTCCTTAGTTATTTCCTTAATTTACAAGAATTCTTGACTTGCTTTCTATGCTTATATTTCTCTGTTTTACCTATGGCAAAAGATTAATCTGCTAGTAAACTTAAGTCCTTTATGCTGTCTGTTTACACTGCAAGAAATGTTTTCTTTTACGAAACTCATTAAGTTCTGGGCTAGTTTAAAACATAGTATATTGGATATAGCCCAGTGTACTATAAAAGTTTATTGTAACATGATTTAAATAGGCTCCAGAAATTTCTTTTCTGACCTCTCAATTTTACTCTTTTTAGATGCATCCTTGGGGAACTGTTCACAAAGAAGCCTATTTTTCAAGCCAATCTGGAACTGGCTCAGCTAGAACTGATCAGGTACAGCTGTGCATGTGTTCTTGCGTGCTCAGGTGTGTTAGATAATGTAATCCTCCAATTTCTAACACTTTTCAGTCATTCTACTAAATGAGTGTACAGTAAGTTTCTCTTTGTCAAGTTTACCATATATTTTGTCATAGGCTATTTATATTAAAAAGCTATATTTAACTTAATTTTCTTTTTTCTGTTTACTGATGCTGAGGATTAAATCCAGAGCTATATGCATGCTGCATACGCACTCTACCATTGAGTTATACATCTTACCTTCCATATTTTTATTAATTTTTCTTCATATAAAAGCATGCTTTTGCCAGGCATAGGCATGTGCTACTTGGGAGACTGAGGTAGGAAAAATCACTTAAGCCCAGGATTTGGAGGCTAGTTTAAGCAGTAAAGAGAGACTTCATCTCAAAAAAACTAGAAAAAAGGATTCCATTTTCAGAATGGTTATCTTTTTCTTAGGTTAAATTACTACTAAATTTATGGTGCTGGAGGCATATTCAGTGGATGAGCAGAAGAACATACCACATATGAAGTCCTGGGTTCAGTCACCTGCACAAAAAAAAAGAAAAGTTCAATTTACTTAACAAACATTTATTGGACTTATTATGCAATAAATTACTATTTCTGTTAAAACTTCATAATTTAGGGATAAGTCCCTGCCTGCAAAGAACACCAAAGTTTAGTAAGGTATACAGCATGTGAATAGTTTTAAAATAGAACCTATAGTAGAAGATTTGGGGGAACGGCCTGGGATTAAGATGAACTTAGATCTCCCTTTCTTTTGTTCGTTTGGTTTTTTTGAGACACAGTCTCCCTATGTAGCCCAGGCTGGCCTCAAACTGGTAGTGCTCCTCTCTTAGCCTCCAAGTACACTGGGATTATAAGTATGTATCATCATACTCAGCCTTTTTTTCTTTTTTTTTTTTCAGTAAAATTAAAGGGAAGAGCCTGGAATCCTAGCTGCTCAGGAGGTAGAGATTAGGAGGATCACAGCTCAGGACCAGGCCCACAATCTGGTGTGGTGGATTGTGTCTGTGATCCCAACTATGCAAGGAAGCACAAATAGGATTGTGGTTCAGGCAGGTCCAGGCCAGCCCAGGCATAAAGTGAGACCTTATCACAAAAATAATCAAAGCAGGACTGACAGTGTAGCTCAAGCAATAGATTGCCTGCTTAGCAAGCACAAAGCCCTGCCTAAGTTTAAAACCCTAGTATTGCCAAAAATAAATAACCAAAGCACAAAGGTCTGGCTTGAGTGGCTCAAGTGATAGAGCACCTGCCTAGTGAGGGCAAGGCCCTAAGTTGAATCCGCATATAGCAAAACAAAAAAGGGAAGAATACAATAGGCAAATGTAGACTTCTTTTCTTTATTTTGGTAGTACTAGGGTTTGAACTAAGGGCCTCACACTTGCTAGGCAGGTACTCTAACCCTAAGCCACACCCAAACCCTTTTTGCTTTAGTTACTGTTCAAATAGGTTCTTGTATTTTTCTGCCCAGGCTGGCCTAGAACATCAGTCTTCCCTAACTATGCCTTCACAGAGCTGGGACCATGGGATTGGTCTACCATTCCCTGCTTGTTTGTTGAGATGGAATCTCGCTTACTTTTTTGCCCAGGCTGGTCTCAAACACTATCCTCCTGATCTCTACCTCCCAAGTAGCTAGAATTATAGACATGTACCACCATGCCTGGCCCTAATGTAGACATTTTTAAAATGTCATATGTAACTCATTATTTGTTACATTATTTGTCAATTATCTTAGGCTCTCTTCTGCTTTTTCTTGTAGGAATTGATTTAAATCAACTCCTATAATTTCTAGTTTTGAAATTAACATTCGCTAAATAGAACAAAACTAGTAATCAAATATGTGAATCATTTTGGATTGTTACGCCAGTATTTTCTCTTGTTACTTTGTATCCAATCCTCAACCCCTTCCCCTTTCCTATCATACTCCGGATTGAACCTAGGGCCTCAAGCTTGCTAGGCAAGCACTCTACCCCTTATGCTATGCCCTCAAGTCCAATAGCCATTCTTTCTGTCCTGTTCCTTTTGTCCTTAAAGCAATAAAGTCATGTTTTACCTTTCTGCATACCCTCTAACATAATAATCAAAGATTCCCCAGACCTCAGTAGGTGATAATTCCTCTTTCTAGAACATCCAGAATTCAAGATGCTGACTCACTTCCTTCTCTTGATTTTTTTATTTGTTTTTAGCCGTCTCTGTGGTAGCCCTTGTCCAGCTGTGTGGCCTGATGTTATCAAGCTGCCTTATTTCAACACCATGAAACCGAAGAAGCAATATAGAAGGCGCCTACGAGAAGAATTCTCTTTGTGAGTTTGACAAAAATGTACCTATCTGTGTCTGGCTTGCATTAGGAATTGACTTTTTCATGATTTAGGGAGTTAGTGTTGTCCCGTTTGGTATCACAAACTTTTTTATTTTTGAACAGTTACGAGTTTTATCATAGGCCTTTTGTAATTTTCTCTTTTGAAGACTTTAGACAATAGGAAAATTCTGTTTTGAACATCTAAATTTCCATATAGTCCTACTGATCTTCCCAGGAAAAGAGAATGGAACTGTTACCCTCTTCATATTTTTTACCTGTATTGTAGTATTTCTTTGTTGTTATTGTACTGGGGATATATTGTGACATTTACCAAAGTTCGTACAATATATGGTAGTTGAATTCATCCCCTCCGTTATTCTCCTTTATTCCTCCTCCCCCTATGGAATTTCTTAAATCCCCTGTGGGAACAAATCTGTTTGCTTGCATTAGCCAAATTCCAACTCTGTTTTCTCAATTTTACATTGAAGTAGAAATTCAGAGACCTTTTTGATGCAAGATTATAGGTTTGAGAACTGTGGGGTCATTGTGAACTCACGATTTGTTTGTTCCTTTCTACAGCATTCCTTCAGCAGCACTTGATTTATTGGACCACATGCTGACACTAGATCCTAGCAAGCGTTGCACAGCTGAACAGACCCTACAGAGTGACTTCCTTAAAGATGTGGAACTCAGCAAAATGGCTCCTCCAGAGTAAGTGCTCTTGGCCTTGTAGTGACCCTAAATCTCTCCCCAGGCTTCAGAAGATAAGAAACTCAAAGTAACATGTTTTTCAAAAGAATTGCAAATGGCTAAGTAAGTCCCAAATGGAGAGATGTCCTTGAATATTGTGACACATAAGGAGGTTTTTCTTTTCTTTTTTTTTTTTTTTTTTATTGTTTTAATCAAAGAATAGATTTAGCTGTGATGTTTGTTCAAGCAATCTTCTTTTGTCTCTGGGTCCCCAGCATATTGCCTTATACAACCTCTTTGAAAATATTCCTTCTAGTTTTTCTTAACCATTCCATCTGCTCGAAATACCCATGTCTGTGGGGACTGTATTTTTTTCACATTTGCAAGGACAGTCTTGATTTTAAATAGTTTGCATAACTGTCAAGTCATTGAATTTTTATGTGAAAAATACAGTCTTTGTGTCTCTCTTTCATAATCTTTTGATCTTCCTGAATCCTCTAGGATCTCCAGAGTTTCTGCATGCATTTGTATCCCACATTCTGGCACATAAAAAGTCTTTTATCTTTAATTTATCACTGATAGTATTATAGGTGGGGTTTTTTTGTGTGTGTTTGTGGTACTGGGGTTTAAACTCAGGGTGTACACCTTGCGCCACTCCATGAGCCCTTTCCTGTGATGGTTTTTTCGAGGTAGGGTCTGGTGAACTATTTTATTTGCCCAGGCTGGCTTCAAACCACGATCCACCTGATCAGCTGGATTATGGCATGAACCACTGGTGCCAGCCAGCTTTCATTCTCTGATCTTAAAAGAGACTGCCTAGCTGGGCACTGGTGGCCCACACCTGTAATCCTAGCTACTCAGGCAGAGATCAGGAGGATCTCGGTTTGAAGCCAGCCTGGGCAAATAGTTCGAGAGACCCTATCTTAAAAAAACCCATCATAAAAATAGGGCTGGTGGAGTGGCTGAAGGTGAAGTCCTTGGGATCAAACCCAATACTGGAAAAAAAAAAAAAGAAAAGAAAAAGAAAAAAAGACTCCCTAGAATGCATAGGCCCTGGGTTTAATCCATAGTACCAGAAAAAAATAAAATAAAAAAAAACTGGCCAGGTGTGGTGGTACATGCCTATAATCCCAGCACTCAGGGGACTGAGTCAGGTGGATTGAAGAGTTTGAGACCTGCCTGGGATACATAGTGAGACCCTGTTAGAAGACAGGGGGTGAGGGGGAGAGAGAGGGAAAGGAGAGAGAGAGGAGAGAGGAAGGGAGAGAAGGAGGGAAGGAGGGAGAAAAGAAAGAAAGGATGTTAGTCATAAGTAAGAAATGAGATTGCTCCAAAGAAATGTCCAAATTCATCTGTTGCACTAGAATTTTGATACATTGAACATGGCTTAAAGTACATAAACTTTTTCACTGAAATTTGGGAACTCCTGTTATAAAAATTTTTTAGTTAAGATTTGACCTACTTGGATTGTTTGCACTATTGAGTATGCTGAAGTCTAAAAATATAACAAATGATACATAGTGCTAAACTATAGATGAAAAAGTTGCTATCCAGTCATGAAAATTCAGTGGACAAAAGAGGAAGAACCAGTCTTTGGTCCTCACAGACCAAATAACACATAAATTAATTTTGCACAGAAGTAATTTAATCATTTTATATTTATGTGGTTCCAAGATTTGAATTGCCACTTTTCCTAGACTTTGTAGCTATTAACAAGCCAGCCATGTCCATCTTTCTGTTTATTCTCAACTGAAAGTTAACGAATAACATTCTCTTTGTTCCTTTTACGCCAACAAAGAACAGTATTTGACTAGAATATAGGAGTTTATGTAGCAGATGTGTTCCTGGTATTAGCAAGATCTTCATCTCACTGTATAAGTCTTTTGGGCCTTTGGACATTTATTTCTTCAGAATCATCTGCCATGATTCTTTTTTTTGCTGCTGTTATCTGTTTACTAGCTTTATATTTTCCTTATTCTTTCCATTTCCCATGCTCTTTGCTTTCCCGTTTATTGTTGTAATTATTATTATTTTTGGTGGGATTAGGGTTTAAACTCAGGGCCTCACACTCGCTAAGCAGGCACTGTAGTACTTTAGCCACTCCAACAGCCCTTTTTTATGTTGGGTATTTTCGAGATAGGGTCTCACAAACTATTTGCCCCTGACTTCCAAACTTGATCCTTTTGATCTCTGCCTCCTTAGTAGTTTAAGATTATAGGTGTGAGCCACTAGCTTGGCTTGCTTTCCCATTTTAATCCCTTTACCTTTCCATTTACTAACTACTGCATTCTCTGTTACTTTTGTCTTTTTCCAGTCTCCCTCACTGGCAAGATTGCCATGAATTGTGGAGTAAGAAACGGCGACGGCAGCGACAAAGTGGTGTTGTGGTAGAAGAGCCACCTCCACCCAAAGCCTCTCGAAAAGAAGCTACCTCAGGGACAACTGCTGAACCTGTGAAAAACAGTAGCCCAGCACCACCTCAGCCTGCTCATGGCAAGGTGGAGCCTGGAGCTGGGGATGCAATAGGTCAGTGCTGGAATGGGGCCTTTGTGCTTTTTATTAAGCACATTTTGTCAGATTTCGAAAGTCAGGTGTAAAGAGTAAATATGTTTATTTTAGTTTTTGTCCAATGATACATTAGGAGAGAGGTTGATGTTTTTGTTTATGGACAAAGATGATCAGCCATATTTTGTACATATGGTTCAGAAAGTCTACAACGGACCATTTTCCTTCCTTGAAATAAGGAATACTGTATCTCAGTTAGGTGTGTGTGATTTAAATCAGTGAGTTAGGTAAGCAAAATTTAAGATTAGTTCACCCATGGCTTTCTAGCACATAATTTAGAGCACCATTTATGTTAGATTCGATGAGACTTTATAATCCTTTCAGGTTAAATCACAGTTGCTGGACTAGAGGCACAGCTCAAGTAGTAGAGCATCTGCCTAGCAAGTGGGAAAACCCTGAGTTCAAGCCCCAGTACCACAAAACAAAAAAAGCATACAAACAAAAAAATCACAATTGCTGAATATAGGTAGTTCTGTAGACTGTTATTTGTTCTAAATATACCTAGTCATGTCATAATAACCATTATAACAAAATATTTCTTTGTGGTACCAACCAGTTTTTCTGAACTTACAGATCTTTTCTTTTTTACTTTCCTTGTCCACCTACAACAGTTGTTCTCAACATTGATTACACATTAGAATAATCCAGAAAGCTTTATAAATAAATACCCTGAATCAATTGCAAGATCTCTCGGCATGAGGCATCTGAATTTTAAAATCTCTCCCAGTAATTTTTTTTTTTTTTTTTGGTGGAACTGCTGGGGTTTGAACTCAGGGCTTCACACTTGAAAAGGAGGTGCTGTACTGTTTGAGCCACACCTCCAGTCCATTTTGCTCTGGTCGTTTTGGAGATGGGGATCTTAGGAACTATTTGCCCTGGCTGACCTTAAACCTCAATCCTCCTGATCTTAGCCTCCCAAGTAGCTAGGATAATAGGTGTGAGTCACTGGCTCCCAGATCTCCTAGCAATTCTAGTGCATAGTAAGTGTTGAAAATCACTGACCTTGAAGAATACAGATAAAACGCAATCACTTTTCCATACAATGCAGAGGTATTTTAGTTAGTCTGTATTTTAAGCAAAAGTAAGAAATAACTGATATGACAATTTGAGGCATAAAAAATGAAACATTCAAAAATGAATTTTCATTCTTTGGATATTATAAGTTGTTATTGCCTGTCAAAGAAGAAAAAGGGCTCTTGCCCTGCCTTGTCTTCTTATGTTGGCTCCACTGTCTCCCCACAGGCTTCGGTGACATCACACAGCAGCTGAATCAAAGTGAATTGGCAGTGTTACTGAACTTGCTACAGAGCCAAACTGACCTGAGCATCCCTCAAATGGCTCAGCTGCTTAACATCCACTCCAACCCAGAGATGCAACAGCAGCTGGAAGCCCTGAACCAATCCATCAGTGCCCTGACAGAAGCCACTTCCCAGCAGCATGACTCTGAGTCCATAGCCTCAGAGGAGTCTTTAAAGGAGGCACCCCCTGCACCAGTGGTCCTGCCTTCAGCAGAACAGACAACCCCTGAAACTTCAAGCACACCAGCTGACATGCAGAACGTGTTGGCAGTTCTCTTGAGTCAGCTGATGAAAACCCAGGAGCCAGCAGGCAACCTGGAGGAAAACAACAGTGACAAGAATAGTGGGCCACAGGGGCCCCGAAGAACTCCCACAATGCCACAGGAGGAGGCAGCAGGTAAACAGATCGGTCATGAATCTCATTGAGCTCAGGTGCTGTTGATCCTCTTAAAAATCTCTTAACATTTTCTTTTTCATCAGTGGCCTCAGTTTCAGTTTTTCTGTAATCTAGTCTACAGGAGAACATAGCATCAAGTGATATATTTCTTGTCCAGCTTAAGTCTGAAAGCATCTTTCATATACTGATTGTTTTTCCACTTCCTAGGATGTAGGTAAGTAAAACCCTGGGTTTTAACGAAGGAAACCAAAGCTATAACTAGTGATGCATCTTGAACCACTATGTATAGAAGTAAGCAAGTCCTAGAAAATCTGACTTCCAAATAAACCATTAATCAGATTATACTTCTTTACCTCTAGTAGAGTGGATGCAGAATACCAGAGTCTTACTTGGAAGACAGTCAAGAAAACCCTAATAAAATATCATTTTAATTTCCTGAGAATATTTTAGGAATTGTTCTAAGTAGATAATTAACATCATACATTTCCTTTTCAACAAATAATAACATATAAAAATGATTCCTTTAAATCTGTTCCTGAAAGAGACAATGGAATGAATCCCAGATCAGGAAGTGAGCATTATTAAAAGGAGGGAAAAATGTGGAAAAGAGGGGCTATGTTATACCTTGATCTCACATTACCACAGCATGCCAAAAAAAGTTTAAATTTTGTAATCAATTCTGATTCAGTCTATTTGCAAAATCTTACTTATCTGAAATTGTTTTCAACTCCTTGGAAATTTTCACTGTCCAGGAAGACCCCATGAATTGGGGAATAAGAAGAGGCACAAGGGCTGAAGAGATACACTAACCTTCAACTTTAGGGTCCTGCATTCGAATTTCATATGGGTTGGTACAGAAAGTAAATGCTTTATTTTCACAGGTATAAGATCAAATGCATCAGCTATTTTGCAATATGTAAAGATTTTTAGAACTAAAAGATAATAAAATTAATCCTTGCTTTATGGGTAGGAAAACTACAGCCCAGGAAGTTTAAGATCTGCCTATGTTCCCCCTGCTGATTATTGGCAGAGGCAAAAACTAGACCTAATGCACTTTTATTTGTTGATTCGCTTTGCCACTCTGTCATGATGATTCTGATTGGTTTTAAGAGATTCAAGGACATGGAGTAACAGAAGAAGCTATATAGAATTAAAGCAGGCCTCTTATCATCTCCCAGTTTCTTACTCCTTCCTTCAATCCCTCCCCGCCAAAACAGTTTTAATCAAAATTCCTGAAAGAACTTGGTCAAATTTAAATAGCATAGTGAACGAAATTCACCCAATTATTGAGCCAACAAACTATCAGCCACACGATGAAATTGAACTAAAGTACTGGCTTATGATCAGAAATTGCTGGATATACTTTTCAGAGGAGAGTGTAAAAATGCCACAATTATCGTAGTCACCCTTGGATTATCCAGTTGGTGTTTTTACAGTGTTTCCCCTTTCACGTATCCCAGGCTGGCTTCAAACACCAATCCTCCTGCCTCTGCTCCCTAGTGCTGGGATTATAGGAATGTGCCACACCTGGGCAGTTTCTCTTCTGATTCCTTGCCCTTCTAGTAGAGAGTAGACTGTACTGTTTAGTTATCCGGTACTTTTTGGGAAACAGTGATGGTTGAAATCTATTAAGTCAAAGAAGCTTTATAAATTACTTTTACGTTTACTTAATTCCTCCCTCCACTAGTACATAACTATTAAGAATTGGCAACATTAACACTTTAAATCTTAGAACCATATGATTTGTAGTTCATATTTTATTTTAAGGAATTTTATTAGCCTGGCACCAGTGCTAACGCCTATAGTTCTAGCTACTCAGGATCAGGAGGATCATAGTTTCAAGCCAGCCTAGGCAAATAGTTTGAAAAATCCCATCACAAAAAAGGGCTCATGGAGAGGCTCAAGGTGTAGGCCCTGAGTTCAAACTACAGTACCACACAAAAAAACGAATTTTATTAACTTTAATAATTCTTTATACTCTTATCTGCTTTGCTACATTAGAATACAATTTCTGTTTTATACATGTGACAGAATTTGAGTCCAAAGACTGAAGTCATGGCTTAAATGGTAGGCACTTGCTTAGCAAGTGTTAGGCCCTGAGTTCAACCCCCAGTATTGCCCAAAAAAAAGAAAAAAAAAAAGGATAAAGAAGTGCAATTGGGCTATTTATATAAAAAGTAAAAATTTAAATATAAAAAGAGGTATAGTGGAAAGAATATGAATTTAAATTTGTCTATTTTTGCAAATATGCTTTTAAGTGACTGGTCCTTTGATGTCATATAGAGAGAAAAGTAATGTTGACAGCTGAAAACGCTGAAATCATAGATGATTATGGTCTAATTATCCCATCCGTTTCAGGATATCTAGTTTTGAAATCGTGACTTTTCTATGGCTAATTTTTTGTCCTTAAGTTTATTTTCTACTGCCATCCAGCTAACCATCCAGTCAATAAATAACTTGGGGACTACATATAAGGTGACCACTTCATCCCTGGAATGTCCTGTTTTAAAACTAAAAGTTGGCAACCTGGGAACCCTCTCAATCCCAGAAATACTAGGGCCACTAGTTACACTATTTGTATATTATATATAACTTATGATTTCATTCTTACATTGCACAATCTCAAAATTTTGTAGTGTTTTCAGAATGCTTTCATCTGCATGCGTGGGGAATGCAAACTTATTTCCTGATTGTCTTTGAAAAATATAATCAAGGTAAACATGCTACAAAAATACCTAATTATAACTAAAAACTTTTTGGCTTGTCTAGTGACTTTATATCACTAGTTCAAATAATGGAAGAATGGCTATATGGATATTTTAAAATACGCTTCTATGGGAAGAAGAAAAAATAGTCATTTGGGAGATAATAACCAAAACATTAAACCTTTTCTTTAGCAGGTCAACTCCATTTCTCAAGGCACTGTTCTTACTGTACTTCTGTCTTACTGATTTTGTATGTCCTCAAGCTCATGCCATTTTACATCTCCCCTTTCCTGCTTTGGCAGGAATTCATTATCACACAAATGTGTGCCATAGTTAGGCAAATTTAGACAGCAGTGCAAAAAAGAAAGTGTGGGAATGTGATTCAAGAAAGATGATCTTTGTAAAGATTTAGTATAGTATTAGCTTGATACATTTTTCAATACTAATTTCTTGACATTGTCTCCAGGATAAACCAATGTTTATCAGCAACCCGAGTCTTCAGGACACTGTTTATAGGTATCATAACATAGGAAGCTGAATGATAGTGTTTCAGCTAAGGTCACTTTTTTAAGAATATGATTAAGGAGAGAGGTGACTGAAGTTTGGAGAAACAAGTATATTTTTATACATGGTGGGAATGAGAAGTTTTTGCTTTTATTTCATCTCCTGTATATTCTTTTTAAGTTGTATTTCAGATTAACTTTATATCATCAAACATTCTGTAAATGTGTGAGCCAACCAAGTCCATGCAAGGTGTCTGTTATGCAAGAAGATTCATGTCCTAGAAATGTGACCACAGCATGTATATTGTTCTCTCTCATCTTCCTTCTTTCTGCTTTATTTTCAATAATGTTTTGATCTAACAGCAAAAAAGGATGGGGAGGTTGCCAACAGTCTACATACTAAAACAGTTCTGTAAGAAAGGAAATGGAGGAAATCTCAGACAAAATTCAGGACAATCATTTAATCGTTTTTTACTCCAGCTGTTAGATCCAGAATGCAACTGTTTTATGTTTAATCACTTGATTTTATTTATAAATTGCAAGTTCCTGATCCCAAAATTTTATTCTTTTTGTATCTGATTAGTTGTATTGATATTTGTTTATGTTGGGCAGAGTGTGTGTGTGTGTGTGTGTGTGTGTGTGTTTGTGTTTATAATCACATGTGATTTTTAAGATGGTGTTTAAAAGGAGTAACCCTTCCACAGCATGTCCTCCTCACATTCTTCCACCAGAGAAGAGGCCCCCTGAGCCCCCCGGACCTCCACCGCCGCCACCTCCACCCCCTCTGGTTGAAGGCGATCTTTCCAGCGCCCCCCAGGAGTTGAACCCCGCCGTGACAGCCGCCTTGCTGCAACTTTTATCCCAGCCTGAAGCAGAGCCTCCTGGCCACCTGCCACATGAGCACCAGGCCTTGAGACCAATGGAGTACTCCACCCGATCCCATCCAAACAGGACTTATGGAAACACTGATGGGCCTGAAACAGGGTTCAGTGCCACTGACACTGATGAACGCAGCTCTGGTCCAGCCTTGACAGAATCTTTGGTTCAGACCCTGGTGAAGAACAGGACCTTCTCAGGCTCTGTGAGCCATCTTGGGGAATCCAGCAGTTACCAGGGCACAGGGTCAGTGCAGTTCCCAGGGGACCAGGATCTCCGTTTTGCCAGGGTCCCCTTAGCATTACACTCGGTTGGGCAACCATTCCTGAAGGCTGAGGGAAGCAGCAACTCTGTGGTACATGCAGAGACCAAATTGCAAAACTATGGGGAGCTGGGGCCAGGAACCACTGGGGCCAGCAGCTCAGGAGCAAGCCTTCATTGGGGGGCCCCAGCTCAGTCTTCTGCTTATGGAAAGCTCTACCGGGGGTCTGCAAGAGTCCCACCACGAGGGGGAAGAGGGAGAGGAGTTCCTTACTAACCCAGAGACTTCAGTGTCCTGAAAGATTCCTTCCCTATCCATCTTTCCATCCAGGCCTCTGAACCTTTAATGAAATCACTTGCCAGAGCGAGGTAATCATCTGCATTTGGCTACTGCAAAGCTGTCTGTTGTATTCCTTGCTCACTTGCTACTAGCAGGCGACTTATAATGATGGTGGCGCCAGTTCCCCCTGGATGGGCTATAGCCAGAACATTTACTTCAACTCTACCTAGGAGACAGAGTATAGAATATGAAGAGGGTCATTAAATTAGAAAGTAAATGTTGCATTAGCTTATTGCCTGCACTTCTTGAGCAGAAGAGAGAGAACAGTTTCCATTTTGAGATGGCTCAGGAGAGGCTTGCTTTGTTTTTCAAAGTTTTGGGGGGTTTGTTTTGTTTTTGTGGTTTCTTTTGAATTTTAATTTAGATTCCTCCCCTCCCCACTGCACCCCTTTAAAGAGAATAGTGTTCACAAAATTTGAGCCGCTCTTAGGCTTTTGCTAGAAGGGAAACAGAGTGGCCTGGCTGATTTAAATAAATATTTTCTTCCTCTCCACCATCTCACATTTTTTGCTTTTAAGTGAACGCTCTCCCTTGACCCTTGTTGAGCATCTTGAACATACCTTTTTTTTTTTTTTTTTTTCCAAATAAATTGCTCATCCTTAAAGTTTGGTCCACTTTTGACAAAAGAATATGCCCTTCTCCCTGCACATAAAGCAGGTTGTAGAAAGTGGCATTCTTGGGCACCTAGGTAGACTTTATCCAGTTTCTCTCCTTTTTTGCCTATTTTTCTTCCCCCTCCTTTCCCTAACCTCTCTCTTCCCTTTTCTCTCCTTCCTCCTCCCCTCCCCCATTCTTCTCTCCTTCCTCCCTCTTTGAGGCATTTGTTTGGAAAAAAATTAATCCTTGAGATGCCCAAGAACCTGGAATAATTCTTTACTTTTTTTTTTTTTTTTAAATAAAGGAAAGGAAATTCAAACTCCTACATTGTTCTCTGTAACTCTTCAATTCTAAAATGTTTTGTTTTTTTTAAAACCATGTTTAGCTGGGAAGTTGACTTGTACGTGTGGACAGCTTAGGATATTGCTGCTGAACTGTGGTTAGAGATGATGCCTCCATGCCTAGAGAGCTAATAAGAGCAGTTAGCATATTGTTTACACATAATATTTTTATGTAAAAAAAAAAAAAGCCTTTCGAACAGCAATGTGATATTGTGAAAGAGAAAAAAAAATTATCCTGAAAATACATGGAAATGTAACCTAGTTTAGGATGGGTATTTTTCTGAAGCTATATCAATACCTGATACCTTTTTAAAAAATTTTTAAAACACATACTGTAAGAGAGAACAGTATTGACATATACACATCCCAGCATGTATATCCTGCCAATTCTTTTAGGGATTTTCCTCCAGAGAGAGGTAGTTTCAGTTTGGGCTTTGTCTTTGGAAAAAGGGTTAAAGTATGATATTCTGGCAAGAACATTGCCTTATCATAAACAGGAAGTGGAAAAGAGAAAGGCTCTCAGGGTAAGATAACTTGGGAGGCTTCTCATTCTGGCTTCCAGAGTACCAGCTTATGGAGTGTTTTAAAACAGATACATGTCATATTGATCTGCACAGACTTAGACCTTTGTGAAACATAGGTTAGCTTCCTTTTACAAAGAAAGGCAAACATGCTTTAGCATTTTGGAGAGTAGTTTTCAAAGCTCAAGTGAAGTTTCATGTTTCAATGCCAAGTTCTTATATTAAAAAATAAAATCTATTTGTAAGAGAAAGGTACATTAACTAAAAAACTAAAGAATTGAAAGAACTCTTCAGATACTTACATGAGAATTATTTTCCCCTGTTATTGAAATAGGTAGATATTGGTGTGTATATTTCTTTCCACTCTGGGTTTTGGTCTTGCCTTGCCCTTGGGCCAGACATTGATTTGTAAGAGAACTTTTTAGTCATTTTGGTTTTGGTGGCTTTTTATATCAGTGTGTCCAACTATATTTTCTAAGCACACTGGCATGTTACCAGTTAACTGTATTAAAGATATCTGAACCTTCTGTCTGTTGACATCTTAGTCCTCAGGCATGGGCCTTTGTATTTTAAAATATTTGAATTTGAAGTATTGAACCCCAGTCCCCTGTTTTTGGTTAAAGAAGCTGAACCTGGGATACTTTCAAAAGTATCTGTTCAGTGTAAAAGAATTGTTTTCCCATCAAATATGAATAAAATTCTCTATATTTTCATTGTATTTTGGTTATCGACAGTCATCAATAATGTTTTCCCTCCCCTCTACCATCTTTTTTTCTTTTTTTTAAATTATGCTGAGTATTCTAAGTAATACATGTAAACTTCCATTCCCTCATCCCTGTTAGGGAAGGGGGAAGGTGTATGTGCGAATGTGTTTATGTGTATGTATGATCCCATCTCACCCCCACCCTATTTTGGGAGTCTAACCTTTAAAAATGAAAAACAATTTTTTTTTTTTTTTGTAATTTTGACTTTCTAAAGGCAGAGGAAACATTTAAATATCCTGGAATCTGTGTGGAGGAAGAAAAAATATTTGCTAGTTTTTCAGCTATGTTGTCTATTAACATGATGAAAGTAAAAGTTTGGCTGAATTTCAACTCGACTCTTTGAAAATTACAAGCCTAATTAATTCCATTGAAAAGTGGTTTTGGTTTTGGTTTAACTGTTGTACCATGGGAAATACTATTAAATTATTTTGAACAGATGAGAAATCTGATTCTGTTCATGAATGAGAGGCAAAACTGGTTTGACCATGATCATTTTTCTAGTTTTGGAAACAAATTTGTTTGACCCAGTTTCCTTAGTTTTTTTCTTCAACTAAATCTGTAGGAATGATAAAGATTTGAAAACATCAGATCTATGTGTTTAAAGCAGGGCAGTTTGCACAAATTTGTAAGTAGGACTTCTGTTAGCTTATGCCATAGACATCATCCAAACACTTGTATGTGTGTGTATATATAATATGCATATATAGTTTCAGTGCTTAAATGGTTAACAGCAGGTTTTGAAAGAGAGAATGCTGCATCAGAAAAGTGTCAGTTGCCACTTCATTCTCCCTGATTTACAGGTTCCTGACACTGTATTCCCTTTCTCTCTTGTTTTTGCCCTCCATCGGGTGTACCTTGTCTATGTACAGATATTTTGTAATATATTAAATTTTTTCTTTCAGTTTATAAAAATGGAAAGTGGAGATTGGAAAATTAAATATTTCCTGTTACTATACCACTTTTGCTCCATTGCATTTACTTCTAATTTCTGTACCCTCTAAGCATATCTAGTCGGGTATGAAGGACATTTTTCCTCCACTTTATCCTTAGGGGTTCTCTAGCTCAGAATTGCTATAGAGAGTAATAAACTATCAAAACAAAAAATTCTCAAGGATTGGCAGGGTGCTTGAAAATGCTAGACTAGAGACTAGGAATTTTTTAAAATGAATTAAGAAAATCCATAAAATATTTTTTTAAAGTAGAAAACAGTTACACAAATAATGGTATTGTGAAGCCATCAAAAGAGTTGAGTTTCATGTACCCTGACTCCTCCTGACAGGAGAGGTAAGTGGGTGTGAGCTCAACAGTCATCAAGGGGAGTTGGTAAGAAGATGTTTAGTCTCGCAGGATACTCTCAAACCAGGCTTCTCACCATCCCACCCCACCCTGGTTTCCAAGATGTAGAGGAGGGTCAGCATGGAGATTAGCATACCCAGCTCTGTTGAGATTTCCTGGTGCACTGCCAATCCAGGAAGTGAATCAAAGTTGCTTAAAGGTTAAAAAGTCTTATTATTTCTAAAATCTTTCCCATCTCCCCCTGAGAGAGAATTGCTTTCCCTTTCCTTTCATGGCTTAAAACATTGAGACTAAGCTTTCCCTTAATATGTGCGGCAGTGTTGTTATTATGACAGGTGGGCAGAAAACAGATAAAATCCATCAGGAGAAAGAAGAGGAAGAGGGCAGATAGATGTCTGGAAGTTGTAAATGGGGCAAGCAAGTTGTACAGATTAAGAGATATACCAGAATATGGGAAACGAGAAATTAAAAAACTGCTGATGAGGAGGGTTGCCAGCCTGGTTTTGAATCCTCAGAGTCTTTGGTGTTCCATTGCCTGTGGGCTAAATCATGTCCTCTTTACCCAGAAGGAGAATGGAGAGCTCAAGATTGTTCCAGTTCCTGGAATCATATTTTCCAGGTTAGTCTCTGAGAAAAGGAGTTAGTTTTAGGTCTTCATATATTTGCAAGTTAATGACTAGAGGTGTGAACTTTAACCTACTAGAGAGTAGTATTTTCACAGTGTCTGTCTTCAATTCTGAGCCTAAAGACTGAGGACCTAACTAACCTGGATATTTTTTTCTGTCATACCCAAAGCCATGTCTGAGTATCAGGCATACTGTTCAGTACCTAAATTTCTTAGGCATTATTCTCCCAAACAGTCTTCCTTAACTGTATGGGAAGGCTAATGCCTCAAGGAAGTTACAGTTAAATGTTCTTGTTGCTAAACTGGTATTTTGATTGTGATTAAAGATTGCCCCATAACTTGCCTTTTTAGCTTTTAAGTGACTTCTTCCACAATTTAGTTATTCTGAAGAACTAAGTGGAATGGGAATGAGGAGTTCCTCAGTGAGGAAATTACTCCACCATTCCAAGGGAGTAGTGGGCTACCAGGTCCTCAGTTTGTCCTGAGGGGCAATGTGAGCATTCCTGGACAATTTGGTTAATTTTATTGTCCAGGTATGGTATTTCTCATCTATAGGAGCACTTGTAGTGTTTCTACAGCCTTGGGGATTACTCTAGATAAGTGAGAAATTACTCCAGCCAGAGTTGGAAGACTTTCTGAGACTACAACACCTGTAGGAATCATTGATGGTACTCTACCAGTCCTCACTATGGGTAGCTGTCTCTCCATCACCTATCACTCACCCACTTTCATTTCCCTTTTTTTTTTTCTTTTCTCCCCACTCACCATCCAACTAGATGATTTTATGCCTACCATAGTTATTGATTGCTTAATCCTACTGGGTAGAGTTACTGCTTTTTTATGATTTTGAGGGATCTTTAGAGGCAATTCGGAAGACAAATGTCTATCTGGATGTTGAACTTAAGGGGTGGGAGGTAGAGAGCAAAATGACCATACTTTCTTACTGCCAAGAACAATGAAAGGAGCTTTTTTTTTTCCCTCCCCCTCCCCACCCCGTACTGGGGTTTGAACTCAGAGCCTCATGCTTGCTAGGCAGACATTCTTCTACTTGACCACTCTACCAGCCCTTTTTTGTGTTGGGTGTTTTTGAAATAGGGTCTTATGAACTATTTGCACAGGCTGGCCTCCAACCTCTATCCTCCTGATCTCCCATCTCCAGAGTAGCTGGGATTACAGGAGTGAGCTACCAGAGCCTGGCTGAAAGGAGCTTTTAATTCATGATACATGGGCCCATGAAAGGCAAGAGATCATCTTTCAGTGTTCCTGATTCCCTCTTTCAACTTTACTTCTTCATCTTCTTCTCCCTTATCCTGAGATTGTTGCTTTTGCCAGTGACATTTCTAATTTCGGTTGCAGATGGTGTCTGGGAGAAGTAAAGGTTGGTGAGAAAGAGGGCTGTGGTATCCAAGAGAAAGCAGATAAGAGCTACATTGAACCCTGGTGATTACTCATTGGGATACCAAAATGCTTTCACCACTGGATTACTCTCATTATAAATATCTTTATCTCAAAAATTAGTAAGCCATGACTGAGACTGATGTGGAGTACCATAATCTTTAATACTTTCTAGATGATTATAACTGTTAGTGAAGCTTTTTCATTGTATAGTCCTCAGCTTCACATACTTTTCTGGACTAAGAATATAGCCGTGAAGTAAGTAAGAGATTTTTGATGCTTACTCTGACATGGTTGTAAAGAGTTGATAGTTTTAAAGGAATAAAGGACATTGTATATAAGCTAAACTATCCCTGGGGAAGACGGAATGAAGAAACCTTTAGAAAGGCCGCAGTGTAGCAGTCAGAGCCAAAAGAAGAACAAAGCTTAGCTCTTAGAGGTGTCTTTTTCTCTATCAAGGCGCCTATCTGATAGGCTGTTTCTGGGAAGAGATACTTCTCCTGTGTTTCAGTACTTCACCAGTGCCTAATGAGGGACACCATTGGTGAAGATCAGCTTGTAGACAAAAACAGC